ACATGTGTGCTATCACATTCCGTTTTTGGTCTATCTGTCTGTATGTTATTTTTACAAAAGTATTTATAACTCTCTGTTTGAGCTACAGCGTTTAGACTCTGTTAAAAAAATTTATCTTATTGACCCCTGTGTTTGTGCAAAATATGAATAAAAACTCTTGAGCGGTTTAAAAAGGGGGGCTTTTAAAAATATTTGACGCCATCTAGGTCTTACCATGAGACCTAGGGTTACAGCTTATCTGAGTTTATCTGACTACATATGTGGTAAATTCGCTGAAACCAATGATTTTTACTTTCTCCTCCTATACATGGTATATGGAGAAAGTATAGTTTTCGTCAAAATTTTCAAATTTGAGTTTTGAGTGGATATATCCGTTTTGGGTTTCCTTGGACCCAAAAAAGTGGTTTTCGAAGTGATGTTTGTGTGTGTGTGTATCTGTATGCGTGGATGTGTATAGAGCTACAGACCACACCTGTGGTCCGATTTTGATAAAAAATTTGAATGTAGGTATTAATCCATAGTATCTCCAGGTGTTTTTTAAACTTTTTTAATTTTTTTTATTTTTATTTATATTTTTATTTTAAATGGTGATATTCTAAAAAAATCCATAATATAACGGAAAAATCTGATTTTTTCTAAAAAGGCCTGACAATTTTGATAAAAATTTAGTATGTTTTAGCCCTTTAAACAAAATAGTAGAACTCCCATCTATTAAAAATTACAATTCAAAAGTTATTGTAAATTATGTAATTTTCCCATAAAAACCCATGAAAAACGTAAAAATGAATTTTTCTGAAAAAACTGAGTCTGATCAAAAATTGTCTGTTATTTTCCTTATAATCTTAAACAAAATTGTTCAACTTGTACCCCTCATTCCTATAAAAATTAAGATTCAAAAGTTAATGTAACTTTTGTTATTTTACCTTTTAAATATCATAGTTAGTTACATGCATCGCTTCCCCATGATAAAGGTTTTTGACAAGCTAATGGGAGAAAGTATGTGTCAGATTGCTGATAACGTTTATTCCAAATATGTTAAAACAATGATCAAAACAACAGAGGTGTGAGTAAGCCTTCTGTTGCAGGGCTAGTATTGGCCTATTGTTCTGCTGTGATTTTACATTAATCCCCATTGTTACATTGATAGTGAGGAATTGTGAAGCTATTGTTCCCTCAATACCTTATTGTTTCCAGGTTCTAGGATTATAGGATAGGCACCATGATACTCCCAGTGTATCAGAAATGTATAGAACTTCTTGTAACCTTTTTGTGAAAATTTTCAAATAGAAACAGTTGTTTAAACTGTGATGAAGAAAAATATGTTTTCCTACAGTCACCCAACAAAGTGGGCTTCCTTGTACTGATTATAGTACAGAAAGCTGCTAATTGCTGCATTTACTTACTTTGCCGCACACTATTTGCTTTGTCGCACAGTTTTTACTTTGTCGCACACCAGTATTGCAACCAAATAATACCAAACAGCGTGCTTTTATTATGCAGGTAACCCAAGTACGCTTGGAAAAAGGTTGGCATACTACAACTAAACATACTACGAATACGATCAGCTTGTGCAGTTGTTTCCCATTTTGTTCAACGCTTGAATTTAACCTAACCTAAAACGTGTTGTTAGCTGTTTGAAAGACTAATTATTTCTATGCTTTACAGTAACTGTAGGAAAAATATAATATGTAGCACGAGTGCAATGTGTCTTTGGCTGCGGGCTGCGGTTGAGAAACTTTTCACACTTGCCTGTGGCTCGTGCGTAAACATTTCTCTTGTGTGCAGCAAAGTGCCACTTCGCCCACTAGTTACACAAATAACTATTTTTTAAACTTTTTTGGGGAAAATTACAAACTTTAAAATGTTCTATTAATGTAAATCAAATTTTCCCTAACCCAAAACACACTGTACGTTAGTGTAGACTATTCTAACCATTGAGAGTTCAAAGAATAAAATAGACTAGCAGTTGTACAGTGGTCGAAAACTAGACCAAAAGTATGTAATGTACAGACTTCTCTATTTTCACCCTACGATGTAAATAAAACATGTGATTGGAATTTCTTCTATTTGTTTTGATTTTCTGTTTATATTGCGTTGTTATTTTATCACCAGCATGGAAACCCATAAGGTCCATGTTAATCTTTTAAATTTGTTTGTGCTTATTTTTGTGCCTATTTTATTTTATGAAGGGATTCTGCACATCTACAGGAAAATATCTTTCCAATTCCAACAGAATGCGTAGATTTTCCCTGCGATGCAGACGAGCTGAGAAAAAGTTTTAAAGAAACATGCTTGCCTATTAATATATAGATTTTTGAGCCTGAAATCCTCCTAAGTAATGTCATTGGATAAACTATTAATTAACCAATTTCAGTAAAAGGAAATCATTAATAACAGGATACCTGGTCTGGATTGCTATTATCGTTCTATTGTGTGGCGTAAATCCAGATCAACGTTCACCGCATTGTTAATTGAGGAATTAATTCCACGGATGTGGTTAGCTATTATTTCCTATAATAAAACAATAATTCTAGCTATATGAGGTTTATTCGGGATCATTATGTATTAATTTGTATTTTTGCGCAGTATTGATAATGATGATAATTTCTTTACGAGTTTAATATACAATCTTATACAGTTATTGTTTGGCAAACTTTCCCATATAGGGAATAATATAAATTCAAATTTATTTTAAAAATGGAAATCTTACTACACATTGTAGTCTGCTGTAGAACAAAGAATAATATGACATGAAATTTTAAAAGTTTGTTTAAACCTAATTATGATTATTGTTATAGATATTGTGTATAGATGGTTTCTTATAATGTTAACAGAAAATTTTATGGCTGTTAAAGATATTAAATATAGCACTTGATTTTCCAAATTGAATTTCTTCCAAAATTTCTCGACTTAGCATTGGTGTCATAGTAAGTTCTACACCCTAAATGGTAAAATACATGTGCAACTATTGGTCTGATGTACCATCCCAAGGGGCTGAGAATGAGAATACAGAAGAAAATAATGTGGTTCTTTAAATTTACTATATAAAATTGTTACACATCCAATACTTATTATAGAGGCAACACTCAAACATATTTATTGCTTACTAGCTGGCCTGACAGACGTCGGCCTGTCCTAATGTGGTTTTATGTCAAAAGCTCGTTCATTTTCAGGATGAGCTCGTTCGCATGGCTCAATCACGTCCTGATTGAAGTTCGTTCGCTACGCTCACTCACCTTTTGGTTGCAAATTAGCTTTTGTAATAGATTTTAAAAAATAATAGTGCTGCACCCTGTTGATAAACCTATTCACTTTTTAATACTATTGAACATCACAGAATGAAATTGATTAGTTAAACCAGCTTTTAACATTCTTAAATTACATTTAAATATGAGAACTCATAAGGTTAACATGGGAAACTTCAGAGCCACTAGGGCGGAGCCCTTTTGACGGAACTGCACCAAACTTCACAGAAACCATCCTTTAATAATGCTTAATAATGCCTGAAAGTTTCATTACAATCTGTCGAGCGGTTTCGAAGTCCATAAAGGACAAACATACATACATACAAACAAACATACATTGGATTTTATATATATATATAGATTTTAATGAGGATCTCTTGGGTTTTTCTATTTTCTATCAGTTGTATGACAGAATCAGAACTAATTATTAGTTTTTAATGTAAACATAGAATCTCTATAAGCTGATTATTATAAGAATCCTATACTCGAGCAATGTTTGCTTGTATGTATACTTGCTTGCACAAATATCTTGAAAACGGCTTTGACGATTTCCTTCAAATGTTGTAAATAATTTAGTTATGGCCTTAAAACTGGATTGATTACTGCCACTACCTCTGGGAAATTTGTATTTTACTACACAGCTCATTTGAAAGTTTAAAAATTTTAAACTGGCCCTATGGGTTGCAAAGTAACTATGTTGCTTGAACAAGGAAAAGGTAAACAAAATAGAAAAGACTTGTAACATGTGTTTAAAATAAGCCATCCACAGTATACTAGCAAACTACAATATACCGTACAAGGGGCAAAACATTAGTAGCTAATATTGAGCAAAGATTACACTGAAGATTTTACTCAATATAAGGGAAAATACTTCTTATCAAATACTGATTATTTTACTTATCCAACCAAAACTTAACCCCAGAATTACAGAGGCAGTTGTATCAAACTTTGGTTTAGCACTGAAGTAAATATTTAAAAATAAAATATTTATTTTATGTAGCCTAAATTAGAATTTAAACCATCCAAATTTTTCAATCAGATGTTTTATTTAATTAAACAAACTGTCAAAACCATGTTTATGCAAGTAAACTAAAAAAGTAAAATACTTAAGTATCATAATAAAGTGTTATTATAAACTAGTGATCTTTCATCGACTGTAAAATAAATGTACGTGTTGTGGATTGCCAGGTTAAAATTTCCATCATAATTAATTGAAATTCCACTGAAACTTAAAAATAATAAAAGCCAAAATGTGTAAATGAAAACTGAGTTTCCTTTAAATTGCTTTTACACTCAAAATGAACTGTACCGAGCCATGGCTTAGTCCCCCAGTACTCTAAAGTTTAACCCAGAAAAAATAAACAAAATGTAACAGCTTACACGCATGCAATATATTTTTAAACGTTATTAAATTACAACTCTTTTAATTATGGTTTGAGCCCTAAAGAGAAAGATTATAGAAAACTTATATTTTTTAGGGAAGTTTCTCATCAAGAACTTTTATTCAAGAAAGCGGTTGGTAGTTGTGCGCAATACAGTCTTCTTAAAAGGTTTTTGTGAGTTCCTTAATTATGTTATAATAATGTAGATATCTGAATGAATGTCCAATCAGGCAAATGAGAACTGCATGGTCTGTAGATTTGCTGCAACGGAGATATTTTTAATTATTCATAGGACTACTCAATAATCAATAATTTAAAACCCTAAAAATTCCTAAAATCACGCCAAACGCAGGATTAGTTAAGAATAGGCAGATTACGATTGCACCTTGAGATGTTTATTTGTTCTACAAAGAAACAAAATCACATAAATAATGACAAACATACATTTTACACAGCTAGCAATTATGTCACATTTTGATTCAAAGACAATGTATCCATCTATTTCTATCATATACTTAATACAATGAGGGCTTCTTCTGTAACATCCCTTTTACAGGCCTTCTACTTAACCGAATTTTACGATTGAGATGTCATTTTAAAACTTAAGATTTGGCGGAGGGAAGAATTGTAACTAAAAAGGTAATTTCCGTTATAACTTTGCCCCCACCCCCCCAAACGTTTTGGTTTATTAGGAACTGGAATTTTATTTTAAAGATACAATTTCTTTTTTGTATGCTGACCAATTTCTTTATAACGGATTGAATGGGAATTGTAATTTAAAAAGTTGTTGTTCAGTTGAATGTTTAACCTGTCAAAATAAAAACAAGAATAAAACAGTTTATGAAAATCAATTTTAAATAGGCAACTTTTTCATAATTGTAACCTCATTAAGTTAAGTAAATCACTCTTCATGGCATTGGCGGATCTATCCAGAGGGGCTCGGGGGACGTGCACCCCTTCCCCTTGGCAAAAGAATTTCCTGCGATCGTGGCAAAATTGAGAACATCTTCTGCCATTTCGGAAGCATCATTATCGACACCCACAATTGCAGCTGAATCGTGAACATCAAACGCTATCGTCAACCGAGATCGGGAGTGACAATCCGAGTGATAATAATCATGTCCCTGTGATAGGAGGCAATTTACGGCCATTGTAGGTGACGATGATGATGTTCCCATAATGCGGGAGATGTTAAAAACTTTCCCTCAAAATTGTGAAAATCTCTCGCTATCACGGGGGCATTGTTATTGTTACTCGCAAGCGATGGAAATCATTAGTTTAAGAAAACAATTAGTTTTTTTAAGTCTTTTTTTCTACTAAATGCAGCCGCCCTGTTCGCTTGCAGTTCTAGGCCACGACCTAGTGGTAAGTCCAGCCATTGACCGACATTGATCCTCAATTTTGGAGATTTTCAAAAGACCAGTAAACCAACATCCAACCATTAAAATAGGGTTAATTTGAACCCTTATAAAGTTAACTACAATTTTGTTGATATATATGGCAAAAACAAAAAAATATATGTGTCTCCCTCTCTCAACAAATTACTGGATCCGCCTCTGCTTAGAGTGAATCTAAAATTAACAAATTTAATAGTTTTATTCACCTAACTGTCTTAAACAAATACAATAGCTATTAAAAACGTAAAAGGGTATTACATGATTTATTTTGCCCCAGAAACAAATTTTGAACCTTATTAATGTACAATTTGCGCACCAGTCCATTTGTTACAATATAACTCTATTTGTATAAGGAGAGTAATTCCTCTAGATCTATGATAGACACCTTTGCTACAAAGTGGTTGCCTATTGCACATTCATACTGTACAATGTACAATATTTACATACCAAACCTGAGTAGATCTACATACTAAGCTCTAAGTTGCATTATAAATATATACTTCCTTAAAAAAGTACAAATTATCAGTCCATCGAGTTACTTTATCAATTAATCCCTTGGTCGACAAAAATCTCTCAAATATCATGACATTTTTTTAAGTTATATATATTGAGATTGAGAATAATATAAAAGATCACAAGGTAATAAATATTATAGATTATCGAGTTAATAAATTATTCATTGACTATTTAAAAGACAAAATCTGTGTTTAACTATACAACTAATAAATATATTTTCATCACTGTTGTTTAGTAAATAAACTTGCAGTGATATAGCTATTTTTTCATCACATTAATTTCAAATTCTTTGAATTTGCTTTAAGTTTTAAGTGTCGCCATAGCTTGTTTGATCTGTTGTTTCACATTATTAAATAATTTAAATTACAGATTATCAACATCATTACATTGCCACCTTCACACAGTCGTAAAATAAATTGTATGAAAAATTACTTGGCAATTATAAATACAAAATATTTTTATAACAAAAACAAATTTTGTATGGATAACATAAATGAAAAAAACAACAAAGGAAAAGGTTTAAAGCTTGACATAGAATAAGATGAACGAGTCTTAAAAAGCACCCAAATATGGTGAGAAGGAACATGACAAATGTCAGGCATCTGAGAACTGTGTTATCGCTGTCTTCACCCTGCAAATCATAACACACGGTTGAGAGTAGAAACAATAACAAGTATGTTTACCGCAATAACAAGTTCTGTTTGTCACTACACATCTTTAAAAAAACATTAGTATGCAGTAGCTAAATATTAGGAATGGACGGGTCTCGAAAATTCCCATTCTCAACGAGATTTGATTTTGAACAAAGATTTTTTTTGAGACGAAATAAAAAATATATAAAAAACTGTGAAAAACGTCTGCAGAAAGTCAATGCAATAATACCCACAATACAGGAGCGTGTTGTTGTTGCGTTTCCTTTGCGAAGGCTTTCTTATTTAATTAGTCTACATGTATTGCTTTGATTTTTTTTAAGTTTTGTTGAGTGTAAGCAGTGTGAGACATGCTTTACTGTAAACATGGCCAACACAAGTCGCTCCAAAATCGTTCTAAAAATAACACAAGACTGAAAAATTGTTTCTTAACTAGTAAGACAATTGTTAGGTTTTATACTGATAAATTTGTTGCATGGCCAACACAAGTCACTCCAAAATCGTTCTAAAAATAACACAAGACTGAAAAATTGTTTCTTAACTAGTAAGACAATTGTTAGGTTTTATACTGATAAATTTGTTGTTTTTTTTTAAGTTCTACTATTGTAAAATAATACTTAACTAGTAAGACTGATGTTTCAGACTAAAAAAATGTGTATTAATCAAGGTTGAGCTATATCCTAACTGATATCACTATGTTTCCTATGCGTAAGAGTTATTTATAATAAAATAGTCCTAACCTCAATAATATTTGTTTTCTTATACTGATGTTTTTTATTGGTGTAAGTTAAATATTTTTGTCTATTATTATTATTTTTGTATTTAACCAGTCTGTCATAAATCCGTAGTTATTTAAAAATGGTTTACAATGTGGAACGTGCATTTCCCGTTATGTATGAGAAGGGAAATCCTGTCTCAAAATTTTATGAGAATTAAAAAATCCCGTCTCGTCTCGTCTCAAACTAAAAATCCAATCTCGCCCATCACTACAAATCACCAATGGATTTTATCATAGACTAACAAACACAAGTAGACTTCTCATCCCATTGTAAATTTTGATTCCATTCAACTTCAAAGAATCAAGAAAGTTACATGAACTAGACACGAAAATTGTTTTATGTCTATTGTCTAGTTCATGTACAGTGACACTGGGCGCTAGTGTGGACAAAACTTTGTTTCCATTATTTAGGGTTAATTTCTTGATTTGTGCTTTACTGTTTGGCTATATAACTAAGTGACGAGTTATTGTTTATGATTAGATCGTAATATTTAGTTAAACAAGGTTTTAAATGACTGAAATAAAAAGAAACAAATTGTTAACAAAACACAACCTCTGCAGTATGCCGAACTAAAAAAAAATTGTCTTCATCTGTTCAAAAAGGATGAGAAATCTACTAAGGGAGTATGTTTTATCTAATGGTACAAAAGCCTAGGCTCAGTCTGAAGTAATGTGAACACGGTTTCAGACTCGACCCTAGTGAAGGTCGGACATAATATTTTTTTATTTTATGATATTTAATCTCAATTGACAACTGTCATCTCTTCTGTGATATAGGCTAAGTTTTACATGTATGTTACATAAGGTCTACTGTGATAATGTTCATGACTCTGTTACATTTTTTATTTTATAGTTTTCTTTGACAATGTCTATTGCACAACTGTGTCTAATGACAATAAAGGATTCTTATTCTTATTCTTAATACTTACTTGTCAAACAGCAGCGTGTCTGAGGTCATGATCAGCTGTTGCAGCAGCCTGTACACCCCCATCTCCTTGAGCTTTGCTTGTCTCTCACTACTGCCTGGGTCATCCTTCCACACCAGGTTGGAGATACAGTAGATAGCAGCGATCTGGAGCTTCACATTGCTGTGAATCTGCCAAACAAAAATATTGCGTACTTTTTTTGTGTGGCGATTAAAAAATTGATTTTAAGTAAAGCCGTTAAAGCCAATTAAATATTTTGTGGATATGGAATCAAACTCATCCCTCCCCCATCCAAGTGTGTGATGCTAACTAACCACTAGTCTAGCAACACACTTGAAATAAGTTTGTCTATTTGTCTGAAGAAAGGATTAGCAAACCCAACATTACTTACAATCAACTTCATAGGCCTAGATAAAATTTTATCGGAGTTTGGCATGTACCGCAGAAAAATTCCTGCAGATAAAATAAACTTACAGCAGAAAATTCTAAACAAGTGAGTCTTGTTTAGATTAAGTATAAGGAAGATATTATACAATATGGTACCCAAGACACTATAAAATCTGCAAATGTTTAGAAGTAACAATTTTTCTGGGTTTATTTGGACACAGAAACCTTTGACTACACCATCACTAACTAAAAATTTAATTAATTTTAAGTTGTAGCCAATTCCAAAATAAAAGAAAACGTTACATTGACCGACACTGTGTGCTACAGTATACACCATCTTTTTTATATCAACATCAACTATTTCATCGTGCCAAAACTGAAAGGGCAAATTATTGTAAACCTTGGCGAATCCATCTCCCAAACTATCATCATTATACAAACAAAAAGATCATACAACTCAGTGTGGGTCCATTCATTCAATATTCTCATTGAATTAAAAAAACTGTCTACATCTGTTCCATGTGGAGAGAAAGTCTATGACAGTATCAACAGCTGATGGTAAAACGTAATTAGTTCAGTAATTACCTATAGTTGAACTCACCATGTAGTCTTGCAGCTTCTTCAACACGTCCTCATTAGCCATGATGTAGTCCTTAGCCGTGTCTCCGTCAGCAATGTTGGCCAGGATACACAACGCTTGCTCCTTCACCTCTGCCGAGTGGTTACCTTCTAGGATCAGGATCACTGCCTGGACATCAAACATCAACGGTTCTATCAAAATTGTCCGTATACGTCGTTGAAACCCTCGAGGGTGCAATATGGATTTTATGTAGGAAAATATCACGAGGTAGTTAGTTTTTACAAAGGTAGATAGGTGACTTATCCAATATTTCTGCACGAAGACCTCTAGGATGGCTGGTAAAAAATTCAAATTGAATTTTCACTGAATTATTTAAACTTAAGGTTTTGTAATCTTTGCGTTTAGCCTACATAAAGGCCTTAGTTTTTTTTTTTTTTTTTTTTTTTTAGAAAGCCTACAAGCTATTTCTTTTTGAAAAAAAACTAACATGGGTTTTAAGGAATCTCTTTAAACGTCAACATACAATATATGTAGCCTAAGTAAAAGGCAAGTCTATTTAATCAGTTAAAACAGAGACTTACTTTGCAACACATTTTAGCTGAATATAACTGCAGGGTGAGGGGAATAAGATAACATTGAGTAACTGAGTTGTTTCATCAGTTATTTAAAGCCAATTTGATTTTTTTTTCCTATGACGCTAGGCACGAGCCCGGAGTTGTTTTTCACATTACTTTAGGCTAGACCTAGGGGTTGCGGCATTATCACACGGATAAACTCCATTTGTGAATTTATGATTTGGCGGGATTTGAACCAACCAAAGCCCAGCGCTCTAATCACTAGACCAGCTTGCTCCCCCAAAGCCAATTTGATTAAGAACAACAGGATTTTTAGTTGAAGGAAGTGGCAACCCTTTTACAGACGGAGTGTGGGACTTGCCGAGGCTCTACCAATTTAATCCCCACCTCACCTCCTACGGCACTATTGTTTCATTGAACAGTGTCAACCTATTCAAAATGCTAGAATAACAAGAGTCTAATGGGAATTATTCAATAAGACTTGTAATCAAAGTTTACTTCTTATCGAGGTTTGCAGGAACATGTGATTGGTAAAATAAATTCAAAGGAATTTGAAAATGACATTTGTTATTAAGGGTGACTTGTTAATGAGGGTTCTTGTTATCAAGGTTATCTTGTTAACTAGGTTCTTGTTATCAATATTAGGTTATCTTGTTATATACTGTATTGAACTAGGAATTTTTAATATCCACTAACATGTGCCACAGTCTAAAAAGAGCTGATTAAACAAAATGATTTTAAACAAGCACCATACTCACTCTGCTTTAACTAACAACCCTTTTCAAGAGTAAAACATCCAAACTATTGCAATGTTACATACCATTTCTAACTATGAGAAGAATCCAGTTACCTGCATGATCTGGTTCCCATGCAGCCCCATGATGTGGTCGATGTGGGGCTTGGTGCTCAGCAGATTCCTCAGCAAGCCGAGAGTCTTCATCAGCACGTTGACTTGCGGATCACTCAGCAATCTGAAGATCTGATCAGTTCCGAGTGTGTTGAGAATCTGAGACTTTATCTTTTGTTCTGCTTGAAATGCCATGTTCTGGAAAAGAATTTTAATTAGCGTTTTTCTCATTACAAGGTGCAAGATAAATATAAGTATTTTTTGTTGAATGAGCTAGTGAATATTTTCATTGCTCAAAAAACTTAAATTAAATTTCTTGAGAAGTTTTAGTAAAATCAGCAGCTGATTGTCTTTTTTCATAATACTGTAATGTAAAATTAGATCCACTGACGTTTTCTCAGAATTACTTAAATGAATTATGTATCTGAACACCTTTCAAATTCTTTAATAGACCGTTAATTGAAAACATTTATTCCACCGGGGATAACCAAAGTCTGGTAACATAGAGGAAGGAGTCGTAACACTCTATGAAACCCCCAATTTTGGTTAATGAAATAAGTTAACAATATGAATATTACTTTAAGGTCACAAGGTTGATCAAAGCCTCTTAACAAATCAAAGTCACAACATAACACTGAGGTTACTGACCATGAGAGCCCAAATGCCGTTGAGCCTCAGAGCCGGGTCTGGCCGTCGGGTCAAGGTACATAGCAGGTCCACAGCTCCAGACTCCAGGATGGGCTCCTTGGAGGGGGAGAACTCCAGGAGCAAGTTGCAGAGTGTAGACGACGCGACACTGAGGATGTCGTCTGACGCGTTCTGTAGCAGAGCCATCAGTGGCTTCCACACAGAGTGGTCCTGGAAACAAGAAACACAGACGTAGCATGCAGCCATTTCCTAATAGAAATACTGTGTGTAACGATGATATATAATAGGCCTATAAAAATGGTAAAAATGCGGAAGTGGTCAACATGCAAGGCTACATGAGTTGAAATCATGCAAATCACCTGCTTTTAGCTAATTGACAATGTCGTGACCCAGATACTTGCCCCATAATAAGCTGTAGATATCCACCTAGATAGAGAAGAAAAAGGTCCAGATCTCTCAGGCAAGGAGTATACAACTTTATCTGTATACTGTATTATAAAACTACTTCTGCTGTTCTTCTGGAAGCCGTTCAAAGGTTCTGTTTATCATGTAGCTTAAGTACAGATAGAATTTATAATAAGCTACCTTGACAATATAACGTGCTTGATTTAGTTTCATTTTGTAAATTTTGATTCAATTGTCAGCTGTTCTATCACATACCTGGAAGGTTGTCCTCAGTTGTTGTACAGAGCGAGACAGTGAGTGTAGACATCGTACTGCAGCTAGCCTCACTCTGGGACAGTCATCCTGTAGCCCTGTCACTATGTGCTCCATCAAACTGTCCGTCTCTATTATCTTCTTGCGTATGTCCTCGTCATTTGCACCCAAAGAAGCAAATGCCTAAAATAAACACATTAAGATGATACCTTTTGCGGTTGCAATCATGTATTACACTATACTTGCTACAAATCGGTTCTTGATTTGGTTTTGTTTTCAGTATTTTACCTCTAGGGTGAGTTTTGTTGAAGTTCGGTGTGTACTGCTAAAATATAATACATTTATTGCATAGGCTAGAAATTTCAAAACGCAAACTTAAACTTAAAATCCAAGAAAAAGGTGGGTACTGAATCGGCAAGTTTTAATAATATAGTGAAATTTAAACTGCTAAAGAATACACAATAAAATGTTTCAACCTCAATACCAGAAGAGTATTGTTTTCATACAAGCTGGATGTTGATTTGGATACAGCTAGTACGACAATGTTTTCATATCTTCCTCCTTTACACCAACACAGTTTATGGAGAGGGAGCTGGTTTAGTAGTAGACCCTTCGGACTCCAAGGTTCCAGGTTTAAATCCCGCTAATCACAGATAACTATGTGATGGGGCTGCTTCTAGTCCTAGCCTGGAATAACGTGTTAAACGGTTCTGGGCCATAGCTTAGTATCCTAGGATGTAAGGATTGGGCATGAAAAATACAAAATAAACAACGTACTCTGAACGCAGCCTGTCGCATGTCCTGCCCCACCCTACCCTCCTGGCCGACTGAGTGGTTGTTGTTGTTCTCGGGTTGGTAGTGCAGCAGCTCGGCCAGTGTTGGTATCAGGTGGTTGGAGATACTCGCTAGCCTCTGCAACTCTGTGTCCACCTCAGTCAGGTACGCCAACGTCTCAGCCGCGATCACTCTCTCTTCGTGTGGTCTGTCCTTCTTGCACAGACAAACCTGTGACAGTTACCAGATAAGTAAGGTTCTACCATTGACTTTTGAAAACCTTACTATCTATATAAACCTACTGTAGGCTATTTTTATTAAATAAGGAAAAAATAAATGAGCTATTTACTTAGTGTGCTACATTCTTAAATTCTATTTTCTCCCTTTTTACTAAAATAAATTTTAGAGATTAAAGATTTTTACGACGCAGGGCACGCCGGAGTGATTGTGTGTAACACTGTGTAAAATTGATGAGACATAAAATATACTTCAGTTTACCGTAAATAATGCTTTCAGTTTGGCATTGTTAGTTTACTAATTCAATCAAAGTTTTATTTCCTATGAACTTGGGAAAATGCCCGAAAATTGAATTATAAAGCTTTTTACTTGCTGCCAAAAACACATACTTGTTTAGGCTGTTAAGCTTTAAGATCTTACAGTCTGAAACACTATTTCAGGTAACTGACCATCTAGATACACCTATTTGACTAAAATTAGATAAAGAGCACAAACCAGGCAAGGCAATGTTTTATACAGGATCCTGGGGTCTTCAGCGGTCAGTGCCCCAGCTCTGTGAAGGTTTGTTAAGACTCTGGAAGCTGCCAGCTGCATCTCCGTGGGGTGATCTCGCTCTATCAACTTGACCACGAGGTCTGGAATGCTCTTACCTCCGAAACTGTAAACATTAACATAAATATTAAATTACAATGAAGTAATAGTGTGTTACAACACTTACTGATTGTTTTCACCAACAGTGCTCGGATGTCAAAACATTTGCATTAACGAGAAACAAACTTTTTGTGCCTAAAACATGTGAAAGGATAGTAAATTGAAATTAAGTTAAATAAAACAAAATACTATCAGGGTATTTGTGATTGACAGATCGTGGACTGGGACTGACAGAATACAAGATTGGTAGTGGACATTCAGTGATGGATTTAAAATTTTATGTCGTTTGGATACCGTAGAAGAATGATATTGACAATTTAATTTTCCTTTTCATTATTTTTTAGGTGCTGGTCTTGTAATCTTACATCAAACTTTTCATAGTATTAATCCAGTTTGTTATTGAGCCAGCACCAAAGATTTGAAGGCGAGAACTATAACCACCCGAATAGTTTGCATGTTTTTCTGCACTTTGCATGTCAGGTAATAGCGATTCTCAGGTAGCTATATGGTGCAAGGTTTTTATTGTTTCTAATGATTTAGGCGAGTTGGTAGCCTAGTAGTTGGAGACTTATGTGGTTTTATCTTGAAAATATCCAAAAATTTAGGTAGGCTACTACGTTAGTTTCTCTATAAAAAAAAGTCGCTGGCATAGACACTAAAAAAATAAAGTGGCACTTGATTGAAGTTTTACTGTACTAATGTGAGACAAAGGGGGTGATTTCTAAATGACAAAGGGGGTGATTTCTGAATGAAGGAAGTTTTTGTAGGGTATTTTCTCACAGGACTAGAATTAATCTGTAATTTTGCTGGAAAATAAGCTTGAGACAAATGTGAGCTTGTGAAAACTATGTTGAGGTTCCTTCATTTTTATTGAAAACTAAAACTATAGGCTATTGAGAGTTCAGAACATTGGCCTCCCAAATTCATTACTCTCAACAACTAGGGCCTACATTGACTCCAAATTATCCTGAGAAGTTTTATCTGACAAACTAACCATGCATTTGCCGGGCCACATTTATTTTTTTCAGTATTATTTACAGATAATTCTAGCTGCTGATGATTACCTAGAAGTGATGACCGTGGATGCGACCTTGGGATTCTCATAGGTCAGGTTGGTGAGACAGCGCAATGTAGGCATGAGTACTGCAGGGTGAGGTGAACACAACAAAGCAGCTAGCGTGGGGACAATGTCCTGCTCACACAGTAGGTTCTGGTGTTCTACTCTCTGGGAACCCACAAACAATTATGAGAAATAACTAGTTTACATCCCTGTAATCGGATGAGGCTATTTTATTTCAAAGTCACTTTTAATTATAAACTCCGTGCATTCAGTGCTTTAATATTGCCTATTTCAATTATGTTCCTCACTTTGGATCTTAACCATACAAAAGTTTAAAAGCAGGATTGCGGTGAGATACATAGTAACGCTGGTTACACACTGGGCGGTTTTTGCCGCGGCAGTAATATCACCGTTGCCGATTGAGAAAATCAGTTAAAATACCGCCAACCATATCTAGAAAAATACCGTACCGCCAATTTCAGTAGCTACAAATTCACTAAGCTACAGCTTAGGTTGCTTATTTAGGTACCTAGGTAGGTTGAATTACTTGAACAAACTACTTATAAATTAAAATATATAACTCACCTTGCAAGCACAGCTGAAGATTGTGGTAACACAGATCTGGTTATTGACAGACTGCATGGTGAGACTGAGCAGATGAGCCAATAGTTGCGGATTACTGAATATCAGGTCCACTGGCGCACTCGGGTGACGAAACACAGAACATACGCATCTCAGACATGCCTCTGTCAACTTGAGATCATCACTGTTTAATGTACCTGGAATATGTAAATAAAAGGCTTCAGTGTGTGAGTATATGGTTTAGGAATACTTTCAAAGAATTAAACAGCTGAATTTATGGATATTGTGGTATTTAAATGAACGAGATGACAAAGAAAAGGCACTTCTTCAACAGATTTTTAAAAATGTCTAGTATTTTCTGCTACAAAAACAATATTCTTAGTTCAAGAGTCAAAGTATAGCCTAGGCCTACACTTTTTTACAACAAACAAAATCCAGAGAGAAAGCAATAGTATAAATAAAGGTACAAACACAAAAGACAGGTCTGCAGAAAATGGTGGTTTAAGCAAACATATATAGCTCTTATTGTCAAATCTGGGTCTTTGGGTGATGACCACGCCGTTGAATGAGTAAGGCTAGAGGCTGATGTTTCGGATGCGTAGCATCTATTCATCTTTGGGACAAACTACTATTCTACTGGTACCCTATAAAGGTGTCTATTAAATTCATTAAGAATGTTTACAACTTTTTACATTCATGAATATTTCTATTCCTACCGAATGTTTTGGTTGACCACTAACAAAATTACACAAATCGCAAGATTCACTCACAACTGAGTAGTAGAGGCACCAGGTCTACGTCTATGAGTTGTCTAACGTGAGAGTCTGTGCCTTTGGCGAGGGAGCCGAGCGTGACTGCTGTCTCTCTGCGGATGTCTAGAGGCAGCGTTTGATCACTCAGAAGCTGCATCAATCTCGGAACCACGCCCTGCACTATTACACTGCCCTTCTGCCTGTTACTGCCGATCACGGAGTTCTTCAAGCATCTGTCATTGTATATTACTTAGGTGTTTGTCAAATATTTTCTTCCGGGAACCAAATAATACAGTAGGCCTATTGACTTGTGCATAAATAGACAAAATAAGATTGGGTAGCCTATACATTTTATTTCCTAAAATTCCTTACAAAAATGCATTTTTTCAGTTTAAGATAATTAATTAATCATTTATTTAATAATAGTACATGATGTTTTGTAATGTTTCGGCACTGCTGGATTTGTAAAAAATTACCAAGGCCTACAAGAATAGTTTCACAATTCTAAATACTTAAAAAAAGATGCTACCCTGAGACCTACGGGAATTTGCTTTTTCCCTATATGGGAAATTTGCTAATATTCCCTAATGAGAAATTCTCTAAAAAAAAGCATTAATTTGCCAGTCTGTGTTTAGGTAAGATGTTAAGAGTATGCTTGTATTGTATTTTTCACCCTATTAAGAGCGTCCATTCCTTACGTGCTACTGTACCTTACCAGATTAAAAAGTAGGCCTATAACTTAAGTTAAATGTAAAACTTACACAATTGCATCATGACATTTTTTATGATCTTGTGAATAAAGTTCATCTATATAATAACGACAGCTTTCGACATCCTGAAACAATTGCAAATGTATTATTATCATTGTTACCATCATCTTATAGTTTTTGCTACATTAGATTGCACTGCAAGTGCAAACAAAACATTATTACAGATATAAACTACCGGTACGGATGTGTTATTTTATTTCAGGCAATTCTGTATAAAACTAACTTAGTCCATCTTTTTATGTAGGGTTTGTATTAAATGTTACATAACTTTTAAGTTTAACCCATGACTGAGTTCTTTTCGGTAAAAAAAAGTTGACTGCAGGTCGCCTTAAGTTCGGTTCAAAATAACCTATTCATTAGGCCTAGGTTAGAGGTTGAGACAAACATGGATAAACCAAATGAGAGAAGAGAGTTGGGAATGCTGGCTTCTCCATTATCAGTAAAAACAAAGATGATTGACCGATTCACAATGCCTTAAAACGAAACATTGCAAACAGGTTACCCGTAAAGTTATTGATTTAATAACACTGTCAAAACTGACTACAATTTAAACACATGATCACAGCAGACTGGCGCAAACATACCGGGTCTCCACAGAGTTACACCCTGCATTAGCTTTTAAGGGTTGGAGGATGAGGGGAGTCATTTTGTACACAAAAAGACGTGCAACGGTAACGAATAACACTCACACAATACAGAAAATATACACCCTAGCCTATATATTTCATTAAATAACTGCAAACCTTGCTTTTTGACAGAACTCTAGGTTAAGTAGGCCTAACTTACCTATTTGTTTATAGTAAATGTTTGTTGGGACCTAAGATTGATCGTCAAACTCATTGTGCCTATAATACTAATGTCTTTCTAGAAAGAAGTAGACTAGGCCTAGTTTCAGAATTAAAAAATATCAATATCTGGTCCAGAGTTTGCATGTGATGCGCTAAGGAACTGAGTGATATTTGTGCCCCACTTTCTTGCAATTAATTTGTCTTTACCTTCTATCCCAAAAAACCTAAAACCGCTTGCGTTGGGACCCATTTATTGAAGTGGCCCTGATCATATTGTGGTCTGACAACGATAATTAATACCTCTAACACCTTAATGAACGATGATTGAAATGTATCCATGCTTGGTTATTTAATTACTGATGAAGTAGCAAGCATAGTCATTGAATAGTCATTGAATAGTCATTTATTCAGTCTTTAAACAATACATTATTGTAATTGACATCGTCATTATTATTGTAAAGATATAAGATTCAATACTTATAATTAATAAAATATGGCATGAAAATTCCAAAATATAGGCTGCCCTTAGTTTAACATTTAACAGGTTTAAAATAATTTTTTTTTTTAAATAGGCAAACTTAACAAACTTAAATTAAGAATAATAGTGAATAATAGTGGGTCTTTCTTAAAAAGGCTAATGGTTATCACAGGTCTAACAATGAACATAGAGGGACAAAATTTCTAACATTAGGCTATCACAGATGGAATATATGGTAAAAAACATATCAAAATAGTGAACATGAAATATATGAAAATTAATTACAGTAATAAAAATCCTAGCCTAACTTAAAAACAAAATTTCTAACATTATCACAGATGGAATATGGTAAAAAACATATCAAAATAGTGAACATGAAATATATGAAAATTAATTAGGCCTACAGTAATAAAAATCCTAGCCTAACTTAAAACATTTAACATTAGCAAAAAATGAGATCACATTCAAAAAATTCCTCAATTTTATAAAATGGGTGAGATGAAAGCCACATAGTTAATTTTCTTTTAAAGACACTTAACGGCAAGGACTTGACATGGGGATGAAGCTTATTAAATAATTTAATACCTAAAACAAAATGACTGTTTGCAGTTTTCTGTAGCCTACAGTGAGGTACATCAACTAGACCCCTATTCCTTGTGTTATAACCATGAATGTCTTGGCGCAAATCATACTCTTTTTCCTTTTTCTTAACATTAATCAGACAATGCAGGATAAAAACATTAATGACAGTTAATATACCAGTGCCCACAAATAACGGTTTACAATGTGCTCTTCGGCGAGATCTAGTTATGATTCTCACAGCCTTCTTTTGAATTAACAATACATTATTTACATGGGTACTATTTCCCCATAACAAAACACCATACCGGTAACTTAAAATTGAGTGAAAAAAAAGCATAATACACAGACTTTAAATAATTCTGAGGCAGACTAGAGCTAAGACATTTGAGAAGATAAATAAACCTAGACAACTTACCACTAATGTAATCAATGTGTTGAGACCAGGTCAAACAGTTGTCAATCACTAAACCTAAAATTTTTATGTCATTTGGTTCATTGTAATCCTCGACTCTATTTCTAGTCTGGCAGAGTAAGTGTTGAGTTTTATTCTCATTAATAATCAAACCATTAGCACTAAACCATTGCTTGGCTTCTAAAATAGTATTTTTGGCAATATTAGACAAGACATTTGTATCATTGCTTATAGTAAGAAAGGTTGTGTCGTCTGCAAACATTGTAGTTGAAGAAAGGGACACATTGGCAGCTAGGTCATTAATTGATAAAAGGAATAATAAAGGCCCCAAGATAGAACCCTGTGGTACTCCCATTATTACATCCAGACATCTTGAACGATCACCCTTCAACTCAACAAACTGAGATCTTCCATGCAAGTATGATTCAAAAAACTTTAAACACGAACCTTTAATGCCGTAAAAACTTAATTTATCTAATAACACTGAGTGATCTACAAGATCGAATGCCTTGCTCAGATCACAAGCAGTAATCTGAGCAAAACTCCCGTCTTCAAAAGCTTTAATAATTTTGAACAACATCGACTCAATTGCATCTATTGTGGATAACTTTTTACGAAAACCAAATTGAGTCTCGCTAAGAATATTATTACTTGCTAGGAAGAAACACATTTGGTTATAGATAATACGCTCCATAATTTTACCAAACAAAGGAACTAATGATACAGGCCTGTAATTACTAACCTCAGATTTCTTGCCTTTTTTGAACACTGGAACTACCCGTGAAATCTTTTGGGATTCAGGAAAAACTCCATCGTTTAGGCAAACATTTACACAGTGAGTGAGTGGTACTAGGATTTCACTTATCACAGACTTTAACACCACGTTTGACACACCATAAGCATCTTTGCTTTTTGACATTTTTAGCTTTGACACCACACTCAACACTTCATCTTGAGAGACAGGCAACCACTGGTTCAACGAGGCTTGCTGATGGTACTCCGTGTTATGTAGTAGGTCGCTAGAAGAGACAGGAGGTGGGATGATGGATGCCTTCGCTGACTGCACTGACTCCAAGAAGAAGTTGTTATGCTGCTCTGCCGAGATCATAGAGTGCACCCTTTCCGCAGTCGAGGTTGTAGACTTACGAATCAGAGACCAGGCAGCCTGACACTTATTACTGGATGATTCAATAAAGTTCATGTTAGCAGACATCTTTGCTTCATTCACTGCATTTTTATAAAGGTTTCGTAGAGCTTTGTAGGCTTTAAAAGATAGTTCAGATTTAGTTGTTCTATGTACTGTAAGATAGGCCATAACTCTTTCTCTCATTATCTTTAATTCAGGAGTATACCACTTAAGAACTACTTTTCTCTGATTTTTTGAGTTAAAGGATTTGTTGCGAAGTGTCTTTAATGGGCAACTTACCTACATTAAAAATTTCCATAAAACTATCAAAAAATGATTTAAATGTCAGTTCAGCAGACCCATTACCTTTTGAGAGCACTAGACACCAATCAATATCACATAAATGTGAATTTAAACTGTTCAAACTTGCTGCCCATGTATCTCTGAAGGTAACTGACTCAGTAGGCTTCCTCAGGTTTGATTCGTCAAAGTCTTCCACTCTAACCAACACTTCGAGTCCTTCATGGTCAGCTGAACAACGCAACAGTCAAAGTCCATGCAGTTAGTGAACGCATTATCAAGACATGCCTTCCCCCGTGTAGGTTGATTGTTTGTGTAACAACAATTAAATTGCTTAAGCAGGTTCTTTAGTTCTTTGACGGATGGAAGGTTTGCATTTACATCAAATTTGGCGTTTACATCGCCACCAAGAATAATTGAACACTTGTGACTAGATAAATAAATTAATAAATTTTCAAGTCTTTCCAAAAATATATTTATATCTCCAGTAGGAGAGCGATAAAGACTGCCTACTATGATATTTGGGCGACTTAACTTAATCACACAGCACTCAAAATGTATATCGGAGCACAGCCATTGAATATCAATATTCTTATACACAATGTCTTTGGTGACAAATATGCAAACCCCACCTCTCAAACTACTTTTTCTACAGTAAGATGAGGCTAAAATATAACCTTGCATAATCATAAAATTGACTTGAATATCCTTTAGCCAGGTTTCGTTAAGACAAAAAACATCGTAATTATTTATGTTACAATGTATGTTGAGCATATTTAATTTACCTTCTAAACCTTGAACGTTTAAAAAAAGCAGTTTAATAGCCTTGAATATACTAGAAGCTATTCAATAGGCCTATTATGCACAATTGTAGTAGGCTAACTTAGCCATTAACTTATTTCCTTCAAAACAATTAACTTATTATCAATAGTTTTGAAGGTTCATTGACATAAATGTCCCCGTTTCTTGTTGCAGAAAAATTCATTCATGAAACCTCAAAAGTTTGTAAAAAACCTTGAAATTATTTAAAGTTTGATGATCGAGATAATCATAAAAGCGTTTGAAACCGGTTAAACCTAAGGCATACTCTTTCTATCGAACATAGCCTATATCTAAAGAAATAACCCTGTTAGGTGTATAAGAATTTGAGTAAATAATATAATATAAACATTACCATAAAGGGGCGGATGACCGAAACCATTTTAAGAAACACCAAACAGTTAAATTGGTTACGAAATTCACTAATATTCCAAAACAACTTGCAGTAAATGGTTTCTGTTCTGCTGATCTGACTTCAGTGACTTCCTGACTTCTGCTTCTGCTAGTTCTGCTGCTGGTAGGGTAGAGGTTAGCTTTCGGTCAATCCGAATCCACCAACATCGATTCGACTCAGTCTCAGCATAGATAAAACCATAGATGAAGTAATATAATAAAGTATACTAGTATACATGTTGCTCGAAATCGAGCAATTGCTAAGAAAAACTGGAGTTATTTATAAAGAAATAACTTGTTTAAAAACTAATAACAGCCATAATTTCCGATGATTTTAAAAGAGTCGACTAGAAGATTATTAACTAATGGAAATCCTCATAATTTACACAACAGTCCTACTACACTTTAAAGGGTTAATTTATAGCTATCAAAAACTGCCCATGGACGGGAAAAGGTAAGCTTACAATTAAGTCCACGTAAACAGGCTGTCAGCTTTTTAAATGTACCGTACCGGCGTACCTAAGTTATTTAGCCAATTTGTAGACAATAAGGTGTAGGCTACATTAAACTCTATAGAACTGAGTTAGGCAAAAACTGGCAGAACTCTGAAATGGTGTTGTTTATCATAGGCATACTCATGGCAAATCCTTAAAATAAAAAAATCAATAATTAATAACTTATATCAATTAATACAAACTAACATCTAAAACTATACACGTTTTTAATACAACATAGATAATTTATACATTAACTGTTTACAATTAACATATATTCTTCATCTCATTTTTTTATTTTTGCTTCGCAACGGGAAAATATGTTTTATAATCATTGAAACAGATTTTTAATAAATAATCTATTAAAGTTTAAGATTAAATAAACCCCAAGGCCCTACCACATAGTTGTTTTATTTTTTTGATCAGCTGTCTGAAATTGTAAAATAGGCATTTGACAGTTTTGGTTGTTTCTATTTAAATGTCAAAGCAAATGTAAACATTGTGAATTTTCTCATGCTTCCATGGAGACAATTATTAATATTTAATTTCTAACAACAGCTGGAGTTTCAAAACAATGTTTGTTTCCCATGTTAATCTTATGGAGAAATATTAAACTTTAAAGGGCCCCAGGGCCTCACTCTCTAATTATTTACCTAAAAAGTTTCCTGCACAACTTTACATTACGCTCTTTCCAATGACACCAAAAACATGTCAATCGGTTCAGTAGTTTAGGAGGAGTAATTGTCACAAAAATCCTGCTTGCGTATTAAATAAGTAAAATACCCCCGCCGCAGCAAACCTGCCGTCTAAGCGAATTTCCATTTGGCCGAATTGATTTTCAATTGATCTATTTAAATAACATTAGGTTTAACGAGTACCTAGGTTTGCTGCTACAAGGAAACTAATAAAGTAGTGTGTTTTTAGTAAAATATTGATAGCTTACTATAAAATAAATAAATTTGCCAAGTTTGATCAAAATATATCCATAAACAAGCAAACTACAACATTTTACAATATTCTCCATAAGAATAACATGGGAATTTTAAATTTACCATTTTTTTAGTTTTCTCCGTAACCAATAACCGTACAAAAACACTTTGATATACTGAATTGTTTGTTTTTTTAAGCTCTTTAAGAAGGTTTAGAGAAAAATTGGGAAATTTTGTGTTTTGAGGGTAAAAAGTGAGAAAAACCAATTTTTACCCCATAAAACTCCCCATAAAACCCTGTTCCCATGGTCCGATCATGCTGGATCGCGAACTCATTCAAGTTTATCCCGCCTTACACCTTCAAACCAAATTTCATCAAAATCGGATAAAAATTACTCAAGTTATCGTGTTCACGGACACATATATATATATATAAATCTATATATATATATATATACCTATATATATATATATATACATATATAAAAATTTGAACGAATGGTGTTTTTGGCCTCTGGGGACATTAAAATGAAAAAGTAAATCGGTCCCGGGCCTAAGTCTTACCATGAGACCTACGGTAATAGCTACTTCCCTATAGGGAAATTCGCTAAAAATAATATAGATATATACAGAGTGGCGCAGAGAAACGGAAAATTTTGAATTCGTTGTTGGTACACCTGCATTTCTTTTAGTAATGAGAAACGGAAGTCATGACGATGACACCGAGTACTGAGTAGTAGCATAGACTAACCGTAGTAGTAGTAATGGAAATTTAGTTGAGATTGAGCAGTGGAGTAATGCGGAGCGTGCAGTCGCCGTGAGAGCGTACTAAAAAAATAATGGTGACAGTGTGCAATGGCTGCACATGTTTGGATGTCTGTCTCTTTCATTTAAATGGACACGTCAATAAGCAGAAAATGCGTTACTAGGCTCATTGAAATCCCACTGAACTTCGTCAACGTCTGTTACACAGTCTTGATACTTACTTGATACTTGTGTCCTTAATCCTTGACCGACAATGTCGGATAGATTGCGTCATAGGCACATTAACATACTATTTATTTACATATTATTTAAAACTAATATTTACAAACTTCTTACTAAACAAACTATTTATTAACTGGGCTGTGGCGATTTGATTTCCTAACTGATTTCCTACTGTAGTGCTGTTTTCAGCTGACTTTTAATGGCACTTCCCTTAATTCCTCTAAAGAGTAGAGGGGTCTTTTTACCAGATGGGCCTGCAGTACTGCCCTGAATTTAGTCCTGTCTAACTCTCTCACTCTTTTTGGCAGCGTGTTAAAGATCTTGATTGCTGAGCGAGGGTAGCTTTTGATGGAGTGGCTAAGCCTACACCGCGGCAGATCAAGGTCCTGGGCCTTTCGAGTGTTATGGCTATGCTGGCTTTCCCTCATATCAAAAAGGTGGAGGTTGTCTTTTAGGAGTAGCAAACTGCTTAGGACATATTGGCTGTGCACTGTTAGTATTCCTAGCTCCATGAAGAGAGGCCTACAGTGTTCATCAAAGTCTGAGGATGTAATAATTCTTACAGCCTTCTTCTGTAAGAGGAGAATGTCCTGAGTTAGTGGTGCGTGTCCCCACATCGCTATGCCATAGGTGACATGGCTATGGAAAAGAGCATGGTACACATTTAGTAGATAAGGCTTTGTGATGACGTAACTGAGCTTCCTCAAAAGACATAGTACTCTGGAGAGTTTAGTACATACCTTATCTATGTGCGTATTCCAACTTAGCTTGGGGTCAAGCCAAAACCCAAGAAGTTTCACGGCTTCGTCTTTATGTGAATCAAACTTTAGGGTGCACAGCAGCGATTGGGTTTTGTCCTCATTTAGCTTGAATCGGTTCATGTTGAACCAGTCTTTGGCCCGTTCCAGTAGGTGGTCAGCCGGTGGGGCACACGGGAGGGACTAAGGCTAACATATCTTGTAGTGTCAGCATTCGCCGCTAGGACTGCTAAGTTGAAAAAATTTATATTAATTTTTTAGTTTTTATTTTTTGTTATAAAATTAACTTTTTAATTATAAAATATTGTTTTAAAATTATAAAATAAATTTTTAATTTTTAAAATTAAACTGTCATAACATAACCTACCCAACCAGACTTGCTGATAATATAAAAACTATATAAGATAAAAATCTAATTAATGATTACTTATAATTTTTAATTAATTATAAAATTAATTTTAAAATTTAGTATTATAAAATTAAACTGTCATAACCTAACCTAACCAACCAAACTTGCTGATATGAAAATTTTGTTGACAAAAAGTTAGTGCTGCCAGCGGGTTTCGAACCCCGGACCTCCTGAAAATCAATCCGAGACGTTACCAACTATGCCACGAACGCCGCTGAAATTACATCGTTTCGTTACGGTAATCGTGTCGCCTCAAGAGAAGACATTAACCACTAGAGATATGACGTCACTACACCTTTAGCCTTAGTCCCTTCCGTGTGCCCATTCCGGTGGTCAGCCTCCGTCCGAACCTGTCCAATGTCCTTCCCCTGTGATATGAGGGTGGTGTCGTCTGCAAATAACATGGTGGATCCATTAAGCCACAGGTCGTTAATCATCAAGCTGAAGAGGATTGGGCCTAGCACCGAGCCCTGAGGTACTCCGTGTGGGACGTCTCTAATACAAGAGGAAGCACCATTTAGGGAGACAACCTGCTTGCGGTCGGCCAGGTCCCAAGGTTACTGTATGGTGTGCAGTGTCTTTTGTCTTGGTGTGATTGGACCTTACGTTTTTGAGGATGAAGATGATGGTTCCACTGTAACTGTCACACCTCAACGTTACATTCATGCTTTACCAGATATTGAAATCCAGCAAACCTGGTTTCAACCAGACGGAGCTACCTCACACACTGCCAATCTGCCAATCACGAACTAACGAAGAACTAACGATTGGTATATAGATAAGAATTATTTATAGTCAGAAAACTGTGTCCGCTGGAAATTCTATAATTGTGAAGTTAGCGTACCCACTTTGTATGCCTTGTATTTTTTTTATTTTTTGAGAACTAACGAAAATATCGGAGAACTATCGAGGACTAACGATGAACTAACGATTAGAATGATCAAAAGCGGATACGCTAACATGGGTACGCCAACTTCACGGACCTATTATATGTATAGGGGGATAAAGTAAAAATCAAAAATTCCAAAAAAAATTAACATTATTGGGTTGGACGTTGGATTGGACCATAATTTCTCATTGGACATTGGAGTATTGGAATTGGATTGGAGTGGAGTTGGAGTGTGGTGTGGTGTCGGTGTGTGTGTATTGTGTATGGTGTGTTGGTGTTCTTATGTTGTGTTGTGTTGTAATAAAAATTAATGACTGCTACGCGTAAGTTTTTGGTTAGCTAACTAGCCAATTCTGGTAACTTCAGACATTCAACAGTAAAATATAGAATATAATATATATCGTTGGTAGAAAATGCCAAGCAAAAAGAAAAAATACAATGCACGTTTTCCTGCGGTAAGTAGGAACTTCATATTCAAAGTTGACTGCAGATTTTAGTTAGATAAAGTTAATCTCTGCCTAGGCCTGAGATATTAGAGAATGTTTTCTGTCAGGCAAGACCACCTATTTTGCTGTTGTGTCGTGTTAGACTAAAGATTATTTAAATACTCTATCTCTGTCGGAGATATAATGTAGGCCTAGTGAAAGCCTAGCTTTTAAGTAGGATAGAGCCTATCTGAAGTAGGCTAAGCTACATGTAGGCTCTACATCACAATTGGCCTAAGCTAATGAGATTGGTTACAGTTTCTTAACTGGGCTACGCTACTAGCAATTAAAAAAATTGATTAATTTTAGTTTAAGTTAGTAGGCTATGGTAAGTTAAACCTTTACCTTACATTTTTTTACTAGGCCTAGGGTAGCCTATATCAATTATAAAATGAAACTGTTAAGTAGGGAACCTAGCCAAACTTGCTGATAATAAAAAAGCCGGATGATGATTTAAGTTACTAATCGAATTGATATTTTCAATCAATAGTAGTAAGCCCAGTTAAGAAACTACCATTTTAACTTAAGTTTATAAGCCAGGCCTAGGCTGATCTAACAACTAGGAAACAAGTTTGCTATCTTAAACTTAAGATATCTACTTAATTCAACAACTTTGGTATGTTAACTTAGCCTACGGTAGGTACCTAATTAAAAAAGTAAGTACCGATTTGATCAATAACATCATTCTACATTCATTCATCACTCATGCTGGGTTAAAACACGCAACTATGTGGCGTCCCCCGATCCCATCTCAATGATTGATTAGGCCTATCTTCAGAGTTGAATGCATAGACTACATGGCTGTGGAAAAGAGAAAGAGGAAAGATAATATAAGTTATTGATTGTAACAAGTGATAGGCCCAGTTACAATGGAGACGAATAGGCTACCTATATCAAAGTTCTGCCCAAAATCTGAACTATGCAGCAAAGTAATTTTTGGGAGTGGTAGGATACATCCTAGACAAATTTATTCTTGCTATGCAATAGGCAAGCCTATGTTTTTAAAGAGAAATATGTTTTATGTCAAGATTTTAACCTGTGTTTTACCTTACTGGTACACAAAAGACGTCAATGAGGATCTGTATTTCAACAGTTTGTGACAAATTTCTTTTAAATGGTGTTTGTTCATTGTAAGTTAAGGTTAGCCATGAGTAAGTTACCTTACCTCTCTCATTTATAAGAACCATATTGTTAATTTACACTATTTTTCTATATTTCAGGGAAGAATCAAGAAAATTATGCAGACAGATGAAGAAGTTGGTAAAGTTGCTCAAGCTGTTCCTGTAATAATCTATATCCTTTGCCACCAACATACAAAAGTCAAACTAGTCGTAGTCTGTAGTCTATACTTCTATATCCATAGTTTTATATTTTTCATCTAAAACTAGTGCTCGATTTGTAAAAAATTATGTGCCGGTACTGTAACCTATTTTTTAATTGATTTGTTGACTATCCAACTTGGGATCGGATGGGAGTCTGATTACAGAAAGTGTTGACTAAAATTAACCTATGATTCAAGAAAAACTTCTATGGCTGTTAAGTTAGGTAGTGCTGTGGTCAACAATTTTTCAATGCAGGAACGCTCACCACCGTCTCATAAAATAAAGGGGTCGCCTATTGCCAGGTGTCGCCAAGATCGCATGATTTTATGCTCTCGGTTGTTGCCAAGATTATGGGAGACGATTATCGGTGTCACCAAGACCTCAAAATATGCTCACAGGTGCTGCCTGGATCGCTGGTGACGTCTGCCGGTGTCACCAAGATCACATGATATGCTCACTGCTGTTGCCGAGATTACGGGAGACAATTATCGGTGTCGCCAACACCTCAAGATATGCTAACGGCGTTGCAATCACGACTTCCCACCTCGATATTGTTGTGTTTCTTAAGTGTTTAATTCACCATATCATAAACTATAGGCTAAGTTCTAATCAACAAATTATTGCCATTTTTGACTCATTTTGACATGGCAAATTCAATAAACTGCATAACACTGCTAGGGTTACATACATCAATAGTAACACTTACTATTGATACCCACAACTTCAGGTAATAACCCAGGCCTGGGGTAAATACCTATTAATAAACACCCTACCCAGGGTTGTCATCTGTCCTGTTTTGTGGGTGCAGTCCCAACTTAAAACCCTTTTGTCTGTGTTTATCATAAGGGGAGGAGGTTCTGATTTTTGTCTTGACCAAAAATTTCAATTCTGACCCTACCCACTGGGTATTCTCTTGAACCGCATCATTATGGTAGATATTAAATTAGGTAACTCTAACCATTGATAAACTGAATTTAAAGTTCTACTTTCAATACTCAATTTCCTTTTAGTTAAAAACCTTCAATGAAATAATTTTAGAGCAAGCTTATGTAGGCCTAGAGTTAGTATTTTAGGAAATATAGCCTATAGGCCTATTGAGTGAACATTCATTTTAATTAAACTAATTAGAAACTATTTTAGGCACTTGCTCTTTGATAATGTTGTACTGTAAATATTTATCTAGTAAATATTTTTTCTTCACTGAAACATACCTAGAACTTTGGAGCTCTTTGTGGAGTCGTTGCTGACCAAGGCTATGGAAATCACCAGTGCTAAAAATGCCAAAACTCTTACACCTTCACACATGTAAGTAATGATATTTGTATATATATAGAAATGTTAAAGGATGGTTGTAACTTGCTGATCAACTGGCTAGATTTTAAATAGAGTTGATAGTCAGGCTTCTGAAAAAGTCAGGCCTACCATCATTGTTTTTATGTTCACTTAGATAATGCCCTTTTCATTAAATATTCCTTCATAAACTAGTCAAACACCAATTCAGTGTTTCCCTCTACACTAAACTACAGGGTGCGGCAAAAAAGACCAATATATTTTCTGCAGTGCACTGTTCAGCGACAGGTTGTCTGAGGATACTGGGGGAGGCTCGTTAGAAAGTTAAACAAATGCCATTATATGCAGCCATAGAGCAGAGGTCGCCTGAGACACGTGCGTTTGTTATTTAGTCGTATTTAAAAAGTAGTGAATTAATTCATTTCATCTCAGCGGCAGTTCCGCGTATGGGTCAATCCATGTCAAGTGATCAAATACCAATTACCTCACCATTTTTTACAGGATTGATCTTTTTACATTCGATACATCTATGCAAAAGAAGCTTAAATATGGAAAAAAAAATTTTTATCTCATCTCGTTTTTTTGTTATTTTATTTTAAAGTTCCAAAAAAAGCGCGGTTTTGCGCTTTAAGGGATTTACGTTTTATTTAATATCTCAAGAAAGAATAAAGATAGAAAGGTAAAACAAAAACCATTCTTTTCAGGATTAAATTAGCTTTAATTTGATATACAACATGACAGTATTTCAAGTAATTAAAATTTCAACCCCCCAAACTCAAAATTTCAAAAGCCAATCCCAAAAAACGCATATGATTAAAAATTTTCAAAAAAATACCATGGATCCTTAATGTTATTAATAATTTATGTCCAAAAATTCAAGTTGGGATCTCAATGGGATTCATATTAAAATAATTTTTTTGTATAAGCCTGCAATGTAAATAGACAAGTCGTAGGCTACAGGGCTAATATAGTTACATTCATTAGCTACAAAAATATCTAAGTAACGTAACATACAATAAAAAGCTAACAGTCTATAGGCCTAACCAGTTGTACAATACAAGTACAGTCAAAAACAGCCAGCAGTAGTACAGCTAAGGCCGTCGACACACGGGAAGACTGTTTTCCAACTGAAATCGGCAACCAGTTGGACAAACTAGTCGCCTACGTCCCGACCAATGTAGTTAGGTGGGACAGTGCACACGGGGCGACTGCGATGCGACCAGTTGAGGACCAGTCGGCGATCAGTCGTTAAGCAACCGGACCTGCCGGTTGCTAGGTGATTTCAGTCGCCTGGTTTGAACAACTTTTCGCATATTTGTATTGCGCTTTTCAAGGATCAGGTATACCAACTGCGATAACAACTCTTCGTAAGCACTTTTTGAAATCCTGTACATAGACTGAAATTTTGCGTCTGTTTCTTGTAATGCAGCAGCAGCTACAAAGAGCCTACATTAAATATTTGTTTTAACATAAGGATGTGGATGTACCCAACACCTTCTACTCTACGCTTTCTTGATTGTTTATAAAACACCAGGGCTTCTTAATCACTATTACTCATTTCAAACACCATACACAGTACACAGTATCGTTATAACAAAATTAGAATTCATTCACTGTCTCAACTCAACTATACAGTCGCGCCCGTGTGCGGATTTAACCAACGCAACTGCAATCGTAATCGCGTCACAAAAAAGTTGGTTCAACTTTAGTTGGGTTTCAGTCTTCCCGTGTGTCGACCGCCTAAAGTGTCTAAAATTTGGTAACTTCACTTTTAAAATAAGATATCAATTGAAATAAATGGACTGCTACCGAGTCGTGAATCAAGCATTCTGATATTACTAGTGTACATGTTGCTCGAATTCGAGCAATTGCAAAGTATTACAGGAGTTATTTAAAAACTAACAGTCATATTTACAATGAGTTTAAAAGAGTCAACTCAAAGATTACCGGTGTGTAGCTCAGACCATGTTTATCTTCGTTAATGATAAATTTAAAGCATTCCGGCCGGTTTTCTCCTTCTCAAAATGCCTCGCTGTAAAGGCAACACAGGTCATCGATAGAGGGCCAATTGAAAACAAAAAGTCGTTTTGGGGTAGTTTTATAGGGCGCATTTGTAACCTTAGTTGAGATTGTCCAGGGTCAGGTGCTGACTGTGATGAGTTAAGCCTACGCGCCACTGTTCTGTAGCTGCGGTCGTTATCACAATTACGCCTCCTGTCTATGTTTCGTTGTCGTGGCGTCGGAGGCATTCAAAAGAAAAAAAACAACAAATAAACAAATTATAGCTACACAAAACAAAGATAAATGCACACATTTAAGTTACAATCACGCTAACACCATCCGTCATAGCGACACAAAACAACGATAGATACATAAATTTAAGATACAACCATACTAACACGATCCGTCCTGGGGGTTAAGTTTACATGTGCTCGATGCGTTTCATTGAATTGAGAAATAAATAACAGCAATTAAATTATACAGCTGATTAAAATGTAAACAATGTTCTTCATAAGGATAACATGGGAACTTTCAAAGCCACTGGGGCAGAGCCCAAGGGACCTTTTCAAAAATGTAAAGCCAGTTTGCAAATCTACACGACACTCTCTTTTTAATGAGACGTCAAGGGATAAAATCGGTTAAGAAATGGCGGAGGAGTTCAACCGACAAAGTTTCATGTAGCGTATTAATTATATAGATTAGCCTACAAAGCTTGTATAGGCCTACTTAATTTCTCCTTTCTCATTGTAATAAACAGAAAATGGATGCACAGTAGCTCAGAGGTTATTATTCCAGTGGAAAGACTGTGCCTCGTCTTGGACCACAAAAGAGTAGTTTTCTGAAAAGTCCAAACTTACAACTGCTTCATCCTCTTGAATGTTTTCTTTAAAATCTTTGTAGTACTTGGATTGCTGACGGGATATGAATGAATGCTTCTTTAGTTCACAAAAACTGTCCACAAATTCTTCTACAGTCTTGCAAAATGTCTCAAATGTACACCTATCCACAGAAACCCATTGTTTGTATGTGATGGTCTCTATCATCCCCTCTTCAAAGTGGTTCAGAAGTACTTCTTTTAGTTTTAATACTCCTCTGGACATTTTACACATTTGTTTAGGTAGGCTAGCAGTCAGAGGTATTTCCTTGGCACATTATTTGTGAAAAACATTGTTTGTCATCGCCAAGATCAGTAGCTTCATCAATCTTCACCTCTTTCAGCTTTCCTCCGACAATCATTCATACATTCTGGTGCGTTGTGCACACGCAAACAGAGTGAGTTCCATTTCCCCCAGCCAAGATACAGTTCTTCGGTCTTAAATCAGCAAATTTTTAGAATCCAATTTTCACAGCTGATTCTGTTTTTTTTTTTACAGTTCAAAGTATTCTTTTAAATTTAATACAACCAGTCTCTTTTGCACATTTTCTTACTATCCATTTACTTTCATCGCTACAAAATCTTTCTTGCCTGGCATAATTCGACTCACATTATCAGAGTTGTAAAAAGCTTTGACTTTATCTACAACATTCTGGTCCAAAGTTTTTCCTGGCTTTGGGTCTGGACATGACATTATTCCCTTTTCTTTAACTAACGATTTAGCTCTTCTGGCCATCCTATTACTGACACCAAACTCGATTTCAATTTTTTTACGGTCCAACTTTTAGGTAATGTTGTAAGTCTCAAGAACTTCTCACTTTTTTTCGTAGTTTTCTGAAATTTTTCTTTCAATTCCGCAATCATTTCTGAATCTGGGTTAACTTGCTCTTCATCCTCAAAGAAGCTTGTATCAAAGGAAATTGATATCTTATTTAAAAAGTGAAGTTACCAAATTTTAGACACTTTAGGCTTACTGTACTTGTATTGTACAACTGGTTAGACCTATAGACTGTTAGCTTTTTATTGTATGTTACGTTACTTAGACATTTTTGTAGCTAATGAATGTAACTATATTAGCCCTGTAGCCTACGACTTGTCTATTTACATTGCAGGCTTATACAAAACAATTATTTTAATATGGATCCCATTGAGATCCCAACTTGAAATTTTGGACATAAATTATTAATAACATTAAGGATCCATGGTATTTTTTTGAAAATTTTTAATCATATGCGTTTTTTGGGATTGGCTTTTGAAATTTTGAGTTTGGGGGGTTGAAATTTTAATTACTTGAAATACTGTCATGTTGTATATCAAATTAAAGCTAATTTAATCATGAAAAGAATGGTTTTTGTTTTACCTTTCTATCTTTATTCTTTCTTGAGATATTAAATAAAACGTAAATCCCTTAAAGCGCAAAACCGCGCTTTTTTTGGAACTTTAAAGTAAGATTACAAAAAAACCAAAGGAGATAAAAATATTTTTTTTCTAAATTTTAGATTGGTTTTATGTGTATATTAAATAAACAAAAAACTAACAAGAAAGAAAAACATAAGGGAAAATTTTATTTTTTATTTTGATCACTTGATATGGAATGACCCGTATTCTTTCAATTAAGGCGACATGGAGAATTTTGATTGTGTATCATAATCATGCGGTGGGTTACTGATTTTAGAACAACTACTTCTGTGTCCAAAAATAAGCTGAGAGGCCGTCCAAAGTCAGATCGGACACCAGACAACTAGCATACAATAGAGTTCATGCTCCTGTATGGAAAACAGTCCTCATAGACCAGCCCGAAAACAAGCGGCTGCCTTGAACATTTCTGACCGCTCAATTACACATATTTTGAGGTTAAATTTCATCCCTACAGATTAATTAGAATAGGCCTACCTAATAATCTGTTTAATTTTGCTAATTATCCATACAGATTATCACGACGGAACCTCTCCATATTGTCATGGAGGTCTACTCAATTAAATGAATGTACGGAACTGCCAATGATGAACTGAATCATTACTTTATAAAAACAACTCGATAACACACGCACGTAGCTCAGGCGATCACTGCTCTATGGCTGCATGTAATGGTATTGTGTAGGCTTTCCAACGAGCCTATCCCCACTACCCTCAGACGACCTGTCACTGAACAGTGCGCTACAGAAAATAGGCTAGATTGGGTTTTTTGCCACACCCTGTTTATTCAAAACTCTTCTCGATGTATGTAGGTTAAGTTATTTATGTACATGTGCTAAAATTAGGCAACAGCTCCAAAAATCCCAAATACGCACATATCTCTCACTCACCAACTAAAATCTATCACTAAATGCAGATCTTAAAAGATCAAGAACAAGATTTTAAAAAGCTTTGTTTGACTTTTTAGGTTCCTTATATAACAAGAAAGAGGGGCCCCGTGTGCGAATTTCATATTGTTTTAGGGTTCGATTACGTAGCAAAACGCATAATGCAATACTCTTTTTACTTCTCAACTATTTGTTTTATACAATTACTAGCTGACCCGGCGAACTTCGTATCGCCTAAGTTATAGGTTTCCCCTAAGACAGACCGATGGAAAGAAAGTACCGTTACGTTTATTTTCAAGATGATCTCGTTCGCATCACTCAATCACGTCCTGATTGAAATAAAAAGTGGTTTAACATTTAACTGAATCATCAGCTGTTCGATTACAATTCACATAAGTTTCTAAATACTCCAATTTGCTTATTCACAAGTTAAACATTCTTACTTTTTCAGGAAAAAATGTATTTTGTCAGAGCAGCGGTTTGATTTTCTGAAAGATCTTGTGAAGTCAGTTCAAGATTCTGCCACAGGAGATGATGACGTAGCGACCAACAGCTCGGGACTACTCACACCCCCTGTACGCAGGGGTGGCTCCTATCCCAGGTAGGATGTCACTTTTGTCCCTTCAGAGTGCATCTTACTCAGTTATTGTTTTCTATCGTTTTTCTTTTAATAAACATATAAACTTATTTTAAGGTTTTCTACCACGCACTGTTAATTGAAGCTTAACCAATTCTATCCATTTTTTTAATGATTGGCATCTGTAGGTGATTGTCAAAAAAAAATCTGGCCCATGACACATAACGACTTGGTTTTACTGGTGTCTGGAGTTGCAAACTAGTTTGTGTTGGGAACAAAAAGCAATGCCTTTCCACCACAGACAGGCTATTTTGTGAGTCTTGTGAGCTAGTTATAGAGGGACATGTGTCTTGTTTGCCCAAGCCATCTTTTTTTGTCTAGTTATGATTTAAACCCTTTAAGAGACAAGTTTCTGAGCAAATATTTGTACAAACCTTGAAATAATTCCTTTGTAAGATGAATATAAAACTTGTAGGCACTCTTCTTAGACGTATAATATAACATTTATTTATTTGGTGTTCAAGCAGTTTATGACTTGACAGTTTGAAATTAGATGTACATTTTGGTCACAGTTGTCTCAGCTAGTTTCTACGTTTAATATGTCTATGTAAAAAACCGTATGTAAGAAAATGTTTCCTCTACCATTTTGTATTTATTTAATTTCCTTCACTCTTTACAGGGCATTAGGGGATAATGCTTTTGTAAAGAATGAAAATGAATTCAAAGAAGAAACGATAGTAATAGAGGATAATGTTATCAAAGAAGAAGTAGAGGAAGAAGAAGATTCTATTAAAGAAGAAATAGATGAAGAGGAACCCACCGAGGTGGTAGCAAACTGTTCGACTCTTCATCTGCGGCCGAACTTCTACTCCGAGACGACGGGAGAGCCGGCGGTTAGCATACACCAGCCCCCTGTAGTCGGCGGTTACCCACCCCCATATCACCCCCACCCCTACCAGGATCCTAACAGTTTAAACAGATCCCCGAGGCTCGTCATGGATGAGGACTATGATACTTAACTCGCTCAAAGTGTCCCGTGTGGATTTCGGCTGTATTTTGCTGATAACTAGTACAAAACAAGATAAGTAGCGTTGGGAGGTGTTCCACATGGTACACATTTAAGTATAAACTGTAAATATATGTAATTTTACTCTGTTCAAACTTGTTGGCTATGAGAAACAATTCGTGCCCCGTGACTGAAGGTGTTTGGTAGATTTGAGATTGCTCGTTGACTCGTAATAAACTCATGTTTCACAAAATGTTAAGGGAAACAGGGGCCAAACACGTCACAATTACTACGGTGTGGTCCTATAGCACCGAATCCCAACTAGCCGAAAGACAAATAAGTCCTAAACTGCCGAATGCAATAGGGCCGAATTCTTTCGGCAATTTGCGACGATTTAAACTTTATTTCGGGAGTTTAGGACTCTATTGAAAATAGTTCGGCACATTAGGATTTATAAGTGTCAAATACCCGAATTGTTATTTCTGTCCTAAACTGCCGAATCTTAATCTAGCGAAAACATATTCACCATCAAAATGCCGAAAACTTCCTTCGGCGTAGTACGACTTAAGCGTCCCAAATCGCCGAAAGATCTATTTGAGTTAATTTGTCGAAAGAATGCATTAAAAGTCGTAATCTGCCGAACAATAGAACATCCCCCTTTCTTAAAGGGGAGGAGCAACAGGAGGGATCGAGGGGTAACAACATGGCGTCGGTGCCCAAAGTCTCCGCCCACAGCAGCGTTTCTCCCTACCCCACCCTAGTACATTCGGATTAACTTTCGCCAAGCTCGAAGTATTGTACTGTAGTTGTCTTGCTATTCACCGATTAACGAGTAGACGTCTACACACATGTGTCATATTCCGTTCAACTTTTCGTTTTTCGAATAGCAAATGTTCGTTCACTTTTATAAACTCGCAATCGCGAGTCTTTATATGCATGCAGTTATTTGCTCAGTACTCAGTGTCAGATGCTGTTCAACGAGTCACCTGAGACACTTACAGGCGGTTCACGAGTACGGGGTTTCGTGGCCCGCGGTTATCGTTGTTCTCGGCCAATTTTAACCGACGGCCAAAAAATGGGTTCACAACATAGAGCGTTAGCCGAGATTAAGCTTAGCCGAGACCAACGCTGACCGTCGCTCAACAGCAGGGATTTAACGGGGAACTTTCGTTATAAGGTTGGCAAAAGCCACGTGGGCTACCGGCCGAGCTGCTGCTCGTGGTCGACGAGTCCCAAAACAATAGGATGACGTGATAAATTATTATATTTACAGTATACAGAGTGTTTACTGATATTGCATAAAAAGGTTGTGAACTTAACTTGCACTTAAATTCATTTTATACTAAAGTTTTAAGTTACTGGATTACTCATTGAATTATGAAATGAATAATACACTTTTTCTGACATGTCATTGAATCGGGAAAATACAATGATGTTTTTAATAAAATTTGTTAAAACAAATCTTGGTAATGTTTGCAAACTAAATTTAGATCACCATTTATGTTCAAATTTAAGACATACTTATCAGGTTTGCAGTTTTATCCAAACATTCAAAATATTTCACAAAATGACTGTTCTTTTCAAAGATTTATGATTATCTGTTATGTATCAGTAATTTGTGAAAGAAAAAAAAAATTGAGGAACAACTGGCTATTATAGGAGTCGGGATTCCCTCATATGTAAAAAATAATAATGTAAAACATAAATGATTTTGTTTAAAAGCGATCGTAATATATGTGACGTAGATATTTTTCTTTTATTGAGAAACAAATAAATATTGAGCATTAGTAATAGCATTGACTTTATAAAGTCAATGGTAATAGGCTAAGTGATATTAGAATATTTCATTACAGTACTTACTGTGTAGAGGAGTGGAATTTCTAAATCAGATGGCAGTAGACACCCTAGTTATTATTTCGCACTTTTTTCAATACCTCAGCATGTAGCTACAAATAAATAAAAGGTTAAAATACCTGATTGTTGTCTTGTGGCCCAAAGTATTGTCCTATACGGATCCAACGATGGCGCTCGCGCTGAATTGTACATAATCCACTAGGATAATACTTTGGACCACAAAGGTGACAATCAGGTATTTTAACCTTTTATTTATTTGTCAATCAGTTGGTCCAGAAACACCACAACAAAATATGAAATGTAGCTACACCTTATTTCTCTGGGTTTACTCAGACTTAAGCATGAGAAATCTTAGGTGTAAGAAAACAGGTTATAATTTAATAAAAATTGTTGTAATACAACGTTTTGTAGTAAAATATAATTGACGTTATTATAGTAACCAACCAAAAGAATTCCAATTGAAGCAAATAACATTATGACAGACTAATAATGCAGGATATCGAGTAGTATTTGAGTAAAGTGAAAAAATTGTTATTGCTGTTTAAAAAGAATAATGAGTAAAATTTGTATTTAATTCGGTAACAATTATGGTAGGCTATATAATGTTGGCTACCTACCTTAACAATGGCGAATATACACATGGAAAACTTTAAATGCGGATATGTGTAAATCAGGAAAAAGATTGTTAATAACACTCTATAACAAGACCAGCTTCTGAAAATGGTAAAATATTTACAAGAAGTGTTTGTTATTTCAAACTGTTATTAACAGCGTGAGCATTAACCTTGAAATAGAAGTTGTAGAGGGTAAATTCGCTTCGTTCAACTTCTAAATATGAACTTTAGATAGTTAAGCATAAAATAGTGGGCATTGATTATATATCCAGTCAGCGTTACCTTCAAATACAATTTGTAGAGGGTAAATCCGCTTCTTTTAACTTATCTTAATGAAATGTAGATCTTTAAGCATAAAATAGTGGGCATTGATTATATAACCAGTGAGCTTTATCCCGAAATGGAAGTTGTAGAGGGTAAATCCGCTTCTTTGAACCTCTCTTAATGAAATGTAGATCTTTAAGCATAAAATAGTGGGCATTGATTATATATCCAGTCAGCGTTACCTTCAAATACAATTTGTAGAGGGTAAATCCGCTTCTTTGAACTTCTCTTAATGAAATGTAGATCTTTAAGCATAAAATAGTGGGCATTGATTATATAACCACTGAGCTTTATCCCGAAATAGAAGTTGTAGAGGTTAAAAATTGTTTAAACTTTTATAAATGATATAATTTGAATCCACCTTGGATAGGCTGTATTTGGTTGGCAAAAAACACAAGGTTAGTAATATGTAACAAGTAGATAAACAATAGTAATATCATAGATAAAACGTAGTAGATTTCTCATCCTAATGGAACAGCTGAAGACAATTTCTTTGTTAGTTCTGTACGGTTTATGTAGAGGTCGTGTTTTGTTTACAATTTGTTTCCCGTTAATACAGTCATTTAAAACCTCGTTTAACCAAATAATACGATATAACCATAAACAATAAATTGTCCCCTAGTTATTTAACCAAACAGTAAAGCACAAATCAAAAAATTAACCCTAAAATAATAGAAAAAAATTCGTCGACACTAGCGCCCAGTGTGGCGTACATGAACTAGACATGAAAAACGAGCTTCAAAATTTACAATGGGATGAGAAGTCTACTTGTGTTGGTTAGTCTATGGTAATATCTTCTGGGTTCAATAGTCAATCAATGGCCATATTGTGATTCGAGTGGAGATGACTTTGGTGGGTGACGTTGATCTGTTTGGCCCTGGTCTGGTCCTGGTGTCTGACTGAAGTTAGTTATTATACTGACCGCAGTTCGGAAGGGCGCTAGTGAACGGGTGAACTTCCTGGGCTGGCAGCGATGCCGGCCATGATGTACTCTTGCAGCGTATTGGTTGTAGATCAGCCAATCGGACACGTCGGTTGGATGGTGGGGCTTCTATTGTTCGGGTGGCTGGCATTTTTTTGTGTCAAATAGCCGAAAGTAAGTTTAAATCGTCTTAAATAGCCGAAAACAATAAGATTCGAGAGTTTAGGACTTATTTCACTTTCGGAGCTGTTGGAATGATTCTTAATTCGATACTTTAACACGTTTGTACTGTTTTTTTCGATGGATTAGGATTTTAAAATATATATTTCGGCAGTTTAACACAAACATCTCTTTCGGCAATTTAGAACTTTAAATTCTTATTCCGTCGAACGTGATATTCGGCGAATTGGGACTCAAAACACAATTCGGCACTATAGGATTCGGTGCTAAGGCACCTTCTCATTACTACACCTGAACGTTGTGTGACTTTTCCTTATTCTTAAATCCTTTAAGAATACATACAACTTGTTTCTCTTCTATCCCCTATTCAAAAATCTATGTTAAAATAAATTGTCCTGTGAATGCAAGGTAAGAAAGTTTATTTCTTCAGTTTATTTTTTAAGTTTATAGTTTGAAAATGAATCTCTGTATTGCCTATATAATGTATGCCGTAATGGTTTGAATAGGAGTGAATCACATAATATAGGCTCTTGTGATTCTCTTTTAGTATTGTATGATATCATTACTCGTTTTAGTCTTGCTGGCCTTTATTTAGAAAATTTTATTTATATGTATATTAATTTATGCATTTAGTTTTTTGTCTGTTTTTTTTCTTGTGGGTAAGTAAGACGTAGGATACACGAACATGAGTATTATTGATACATTTTGTGGCTGTAGGTTTTGCCATCCATATCACTTGTTTTAGATTGATTTGAAAAATTGTATTTAATTTTTTTTTTTATCACCTATTTATGACACTTCTTTTCTTATTTGACTAAGCCTGGAGCTGTTCCTTGTTCTTTGTGTTGAATGAGATTTCCTAATCAAGTTTTAGCTAAATATGTTAAGCAGGTTATAGAGGTTTTTTAGAACTAAAAACAATCCTCTATACATTCTTTCAAGGGCCAAACTTTGTTTGGACTAGACTTAATCCGTATTGTGTTGTAAATTTGTAATTCTTTTGTTTAAGAAATTGAGTAATGCAAAAACTAAAAAAGCATTTTGTTACGTACACACTTGTTTGTAATCACAAAAAGGTAACTTCATAAGGCAACAAGTAGGTAATTTTTAATTCACTTGTATATTCCTATTTTACACATTATTGTCTGATTGAATTAGTTGTAGATTGCAGCTGTAACTGGTACCCTTAACATATTCTACATTTTAATCCTCTTTGATATTATTTACTTACAGAATCGATAGAAGAGATATTTTTATAGGTTTGGATAAATTTGTTGCAACCAATAATAAACCCAAAATAAATTTATCGGGATGAATAAATACATTTAAATCCAACCGATATTTAGTGGATCTTTGTGTTGTGATTTTTTTACTTCACTTGTTGATTTGTTTTGTGTTTTCTTTTTCAGTAAGTTTTCTTGACACATTCCTAGCACATCAGCTTGTATTTTTCTTTCTATTATCTTTAGTTAATTTTGGAAAACTATCTATGTGCCATAGTCATAGTAATTATAATTAGTGATGGGAGGGTTTAAAAAATGGTTTTTGGTTTTGATTGTTTTTTTTTTCATAGTGGGAGATGAAAATAACGTGACAAAATGACAGTCCGTGGTTTGCAGAAGGTTGATGCCTATAAGAGAGACAACTGATTTAACAAAAACCGCGCTGAAACCTAACTAATAACAATTTCATGAGGCACATCACTAATTATTATTAACTAGGCACATAAAAAATATATAAAAGTCTGGTTTAAAAAACATTTTAGAAATAGAGGCTTATCAACTTTAATATAGTACATTTGACCTAGTTCGGGACCAATTTACTTTTTCGTTTTGTTGTCTTCAGAGACCAAAAAAACCATCAGTTGAAATTCATGTCCGGTAACTCGAGTAAAAATTGTCTAATTTTGATGAAATTCGGTACAAACCAACTCTTATTCAAACCAGCATAATCGGACTGTGGGAACGGGGTTGTGTGAGGTAAAATTGGTTTTCCCATTTTCGACCCTTACAACAATACAATTTTGCAAATTCTTCACCTAGCTAAGTCAAAACCTAACCTCAACCAAACAGGTAGTCTATGTGGTCTTTAATAAGTTAATGCTGAACATACACAGGGTTATTCAATAGTTGACTGAATAAATTAATTAAACATCATTTTCTTCGGCTTCGTAATTAAGTGTTGTGAAGACTTTCAATTTTACCAACCTCTCCAGGCTTTTGCAGGAAATGGCAATGATAACAGTTGTGTGATAACTATTACATTTATTTATTAATTAATAACCCAAATAAATGCCTGATAGACAAGTGTTAAAAGCTCTGTAATATGGATTTTGTTTGCTTTGAGCTTTAATGTTTAAAATTAAGTTGTGTAAAGAAAACCTTGCTCCAATGTTAAAAAAGTTAAATTTGTCATAAGAAATGTTTTCCTTGGAATTTGTTTTTAAATTGCACGGCCTCTAAATGATTTAAAGCAAGAAAGATACTGGTACTTATTAAGTTAATATCTGAATAATGTGTATACAATAATATTTAAAAAATACTCCGCTAAAATTTGTTTTTTAAGAATAGTATGTTGGATTACTTATGTGAGTTTTTAGTTAATGTGCCAGATGGAAAGTGTAATTGTTGTGTACATATCTTTGTATAGCTATTTTAATTTATTTTTTAACTGTACAAAATCAATGCCACTTTTGATGTAGATTTGCTGTGGCGACATGTACTATCTAAGCACAGAGAGGGAAAGTGCATATGGAACATTCTTATCAAAGTTTTAAAGGTTAAAAATGCTCCCTTTTCATACTTATGGATCTCCTGGAGACAATTATAATGTTAGTTCCATCCGAAGAAGGTTTACTATTTATTTCACCAAATAAAACTATTTGTAACATGTCCTCTTGTTTCACAACCAAACAGTAAAGCACAAATCATAAAATTAACCCTGAAATAAGGGGAAAAACTTGTTTAAACTAGTGCTTAGCGTTCCCAACAAAAACAATTCAGATTTTACCATAGGAGAAGTCTACTTGCACTATTTATATTTGAAGTCAAGGGTTTGGGTCACTTTTTACATTTGAACACCACCAAAATATCCTCATGCATACTATATGTAGGGGGACAGTGCTGCTATCTTATAGCAATAAAAAAAACATATCACAGCCCTACAACAAGATTTTTAGTTCATGCTTGAATAAAGAAAATAAGCAGATAGCTTAAACAATTAAGTTGTTTGTACCACAATTTCCTGAATGTTCCTATATTACTTCTACTTCTCTGCCAATCTGTCACACTCATTGTTTCCTATTTAGCAAATTCACCTCATAGGAAATAGGCTATCTTTAGGTCCAACCTCTTTATTTTAGTAAGAAGGTGTTTATGTGCTTATGTATTTATGTTCTTCAATGTTTTATTTTCTTAAATTTATATCTTTTATTTGATGAATTCCCTATTCAAATTTCACCTACTTTTCATTTATTTACTTTTAAATGTCCAGGATTTAAATATGTCTAACTTCCTTGAACTTCCTATTGATATGTTGCCCGATTTAAGTAAACTGGATCTTTTAATTTTGTATTTAGTTTCCTAAATGAATCAAACTTGTAAATAAAAAACTGAAAAAATATACACGTTTATTATTGTTGACTTACCCTTTTTCATAAGATAAAAATTAGTTTATAGTGCAAATCCTTAAAAAAGGTGAATCTACTAGGGCTATCCAGAAAGAAAATTACGTTTTTGTCTGTATCCGCTAGGGGTGGGGCTAGCGTAACCATCTTGGTGTTAGTTCGTTATGCAGCTCAGTCGGCATCTAGCCGGGCTAGTAAGAGGTTACTGCAGTACTCCGTTGAGTTACTGTGACATTTTAAAATGTCTGTGTTAATTGAAAATGCCGCAAACTGTGAAGTGTGTGCAGTTTTAAGGTTTTTAACTGCAAAATACTGTAAACCGATAGAAATCTATCGGCAACTTTGTGAAGTTTATGGGGAAAACATTACTGAAGGTGGAGTTCGTCAGTGGGTCATCAAATTTTAAAATGGCCGAACTAACGTTCACGACGAAGAGCGAACCCAGCATTGTGACTGCCGAGCTTGTCGATACGGATGTCCTTAAAACTCGAAAGTTCACAATAACGGAACTCTATGGGTTTCCACAAATTTTGCGAAGTTTGTTGCACGAGATCAACCAAAAAGCTTGGTTAACAAACTATATAATTTTTTTTTTTTTTTGCAAGCACTTCACAGTTTGTGGCATTTTCAATGAACACAGACATTTTAAACTGTCACAGTAACTCAACGGAGTAAAGCAGAAACCTCTTACTAGCACGGCTAGATGCCGACTGAGCTGCATAACAAACTAACACCAAGATGGCGCTAGCCCCGCCCCTAGCGGATACAGACAAAAAAGTAATCTATTTTCTGGATAGGCCTAGTATATTAAGAATTTGTTGGATTTTTGTGTGTGGCAAATCAACCCCTAAATATTTATTTTTTTAGTCATATTAGGTATAAATTTAAAGCTCTAATCCTCTAGATGTGCCTTTTGGGGGTTTGGATGATGTCTCATCCTAATTAAAAATGAGTTTATGAGAGGTGTCATGGTGTAGGGATTGGGCGAATAGTAATTAAAATGGTGATTAATTATTCGGAGGTTTAATGATTATTTTTCTCGACTTTTTATTAGCGAATTTCCCATATAGGGAATAAGCTATTACCGTAGTACTCATGGTAAGACCTGGGCGCGGGACCGATTTTTTTTTTCGTTTTGAGGTCCCTAGAGGCCAAAAACACCATCCGTTCAAATTCATATATATATATATACATGTGTCCGTCAGCACGATAACTCGAGCAAAAATGATCCGATTTTGATGAAATTTGGTACAAACGTGTAAACGTACGTTTATTCGAACGAGTTCGCGATCCAGCATGATCGGACCATGGGAACGGGTGTTTACGGGGGGTTTTATGGGGTAAAAATAGGTTTTTCCCATTTTTGACCCAAAAAACATAAAATTTAGCAATTTCTTTCCAAACCATTTTGTAAAGCTCAAAAAAACAAATAATTTAGTATATTGAAGCGTTATTATGCGCCTAATGGTTACGGAGAAAATTCCAAAAAATTGTAGGCCTAACTTTAAAATTCCCATGTTATTCTTATGGAGAATAAGTAAACTGTTGTAGTTTGCTTGTTTGTGAACATATTTTGATCAAATTTGGAAAATGTTTTTATTTCTTACTAACTATTCACATTTTACAAAAAAAAAAAAAAAAAAAAAAAACAGTTTACCCTCCCTGATGCAGCAAACCTAAGTACTTGTTAAACTAATTTTATTTAAATCGGAAATAAATGTTATATTTTTAAGTAGACATTTCGGTGTAAATCCAATCAGTCAAATGGAAATTCGCTTAGTCTGCAGGTTTGCTGCGGCGGGGGTATTTTATAAATTCAGAATGATTTATTCCCTCTAACACACAAATCAGCAGCATCACAACAACTCAAACTTTTAACAAATACTCCTTCTATTTTACTATGCTTTGTTGCCTAATAACTAAACCTGGATGGATATCGCACATAAATTTGACATGCCAAGTTATGTTTAGCGTCACACTCCCCACCCTCCTCCTTCCAGAATTGCTATCAGCAGTCATTTGCCATGTGACGGCTGCCTTGGTTGGGTCGTAGTGTATTTCGTGTACTTTTTTTTAGTCGGTTTCTTGGAACGAATACGTCAGACAAGTGTCAATACCCTTTGTGTTAGTAAAATGGCCGGCAGTACATCAAATTTACGTATTGATACCCTTCATGAAGATGTACCTTTCTAGGTTAAGGGGATAGCAATCAAAGATACAACAAATAACTTATATTTACACAAGATACCTTTATTATAGAACACTCCAGTCTTAATGATAACAAAAAGTACAAATATAACTTTGTAAAATATAAAATAAAAAACAATAAATTAAGGAGAAAAATTAGATAATCAAAATTATAACAAAATTCTACATACAAATTGATGAAATTCTATTTAAATTGCTGTGGTGGGGGCCCAAAAAGACCACCTCCTTGCTTGCTGGCAGTCCGAGAAGGAGCAAATCCGAGTATTTTTTGGATATTCTGGAATAATATCAAACTTTTCAACAAAATGCAAATTAAATCCAACTTTACAAACAGTAAAAAATCTATTATTGAAGATCATTACTATTCAAACATTAAAATGTATCAACAATTAACACATTACCTGCAGGAAGTGTCTGATGGTATCATACGAATATCACTGTAACACAGTGTGCTGAGATTCATATAAGGTAAAATATTTTTTTTTTAATTCTTGCAGTATGATTAAATTTTATAATTAAGAAATAGATTGAGGCACAGTTATTTCAAAGAAAATTGTATATCCTGAAAGAATTATATATTCAGATAGAACATCACCATCTAGCAAATTATCAATTTTGCAGGTCAATTAGATGATAATCTGAGCTGGAATATCTCTAAGGTACAGTTTTCCTCATATAAGAAACCCAAATATCGTTCAACTTGATATTATTATTACCAATTAAGAAGAGGGTGCAATTAGGTACAATTTACCCCACACATTTTTTTATTTTGTGTGTTTTTGTTTTTACGCCTGTAACAAAAACACACAAAATAAAAAAAATGTGTGGGGTAAATTGTACCTAATTGCACCCTCTTCTTAATTGGTAATAATAATATCAAGTTGAACGATATTTGGGTTTCTTATATGAGGAAAACTGTACCTTAAGAGATATTCCAGCGCAGATTATCATCTAATTGACCTGCAAAATTTTTTACCTTTTGAAAGGGAACGGTCCAAACCCTGGTTTTGTTACTATCTAACGTTGATCTTTTTTGTTACATAGCATCATTAATTCATAGCCCAATGACAAATGGCATCTGGGTCTGGAAACGATCTCGCTTGGATTAGAACCAGCCACCTTCAGATTTGAAGGTGAGCTGTAGCCACTCGACTACATATGAATTGTAGAATGGAGTGAGATAGATAGATTGATTATTAGCAGTATTTTAACACTGGATGGAAGTACTATGTTTAAACAACAGTCCTATCGAAAACACATCAATCTTTAAATCATTTAGACCCCAATGGCAAACTAGATTAGATATATTCCAAAAAAAAATGTCAACTTTCCCATCTTACAATATCAAGTTCAACAAAAAAGTTAAATTAGCCTTAGTATTTTCTACTGACTAAATGTTGGGAAATCAAACAAGTTTGTATAGTCTAGAAATATGAGTCAGGGTAGACTTACCTGTCTGATGGACATTGTACACAGAATGTATAGGAATATGAAGGAACATTCTGTGTAGTCGTCTCCAGGCAGGTTTCTGTGGGAAAGACCTTGCAGCCAAGATATAGGAACAAATGGGAGCCTTGCAACAATCCTCCCGTCAAAACTGGAACCACCACAAACCGATTAACATAAAAGAAAATACAGAACCATTCCAAAATGAACCATCAAGCACAATCTAATACTCTTTATGAGAAAACATCTAACAAAGTACAGACTACAATATTCTGTTATATTTTCACTAGGCCTATTTAGATTGTTACTTTTTATGTAAACATAGTAAAGCATAGTTTACATGTGAAAAAAGAAAAAGTAAAGTTCTCATTTAAAGAGAAGGGACAACAATGAACTCATAAAAAAGTTGAAATATAAAATAGACTTCTTACATGCTGTTGAACATGCTCAAAAGAGCTGTAAATGCAAAACCGATAGCGAACATGGATTTCATCTTGACGAGCGAGAGATCTCTATTATTGTTCTTCAGTTTCTCTTCTTCTCGCTCAATCTTTTTTTTCTGTTGTTTGTCAAGAGAATCGCCATGAGCTTCTTTCCGTTTCTCTACTGCAAAAAGGTAAAACGTTTTACTTCTATGTTTTTAATAAAGGTTAAATAAATCTATAGTATTTTACAATAAACACAAGTAGCCATACCACAGTCTCGCATAGGCAAGATGACGGTGAGCCAATCTCCTTGATCTGCATGTACCTATGCTATTGTCTATTTGTTTAGGTCCTACATCTGCCATTAAACACAGCCTGCTGCCAGATTTCCTTTAATTTTTTCTGCATACGAGCTTCATGTATTATGATAAGTGTGCAGACAATAATCATAAGCTCATATTGGTCGTCTAACTTCATGCAAAGATATCATTTCCAGTTCATCCCAGCCTTTTAAACACCCACTGTTTGTAAGTCTTACCAAAACCATTTCATATGCTTCTTGTGTATGGGTCCGCTACACCCAGATCACTTGGATATTCAGTACAAAACTTACTATAGATCTAGTCTATACAATACAACCCCGCTTATCCGTCACCTAAGGGACTGGGACCATGGTTGGAACCAGTGAAAAGGGCAGGCAAGATCTGCCACAGTTGCAGCAAAATTGTTAACGTCTTCCACGGTTACAGAAGACAACACCTTTCACGCTACCGGTAATATAATTTTCATCTCCTACAATGGCAGAAAAATCTTTAATGTTAAATGGAACGACTGGAAATCCAAACGAACACTGATATAGGCGATGGCACAGTCAGATTAAGCGAGGGGTCGGACTAGATGATGGTCAGATTAGCAGAGTTCTACCCTCAACTTCAAAACAGAACATCTAGAAAACAAATTGACAACTTACAGCGTTTACTCTGCCTTTCAACTTCTGCCTTTAATTTCTGGTACTTTTCTGTACGATACACCATCAGCCATGTCAATCCTGGAAAAATGAAGATGAGCAATATTACTAGAGAAAATGTCGAGGTACTATAAAATGTCTATATCGATTAATCTTAGTGTTTACTGACATTAGGCTACATAGCAAAACCTGTGGTAACTTAAAAGCTACCTGGGAGTTAAGTTTAAAACTGCTATGGCTTCATGCTGACTAGAGTTGTTTGTGCATTAGACTGATATGTCTGATCAAGTGGCTGCCTGGTGGAAAGGAAGATGGATTCTATGCCAGTAGTACTTCATATCATGCATTTGTCTTATGTTTACCTAAGAACTGTTTTGAATTTAATGTCTAATAAAAATGTATTTGAAAAAAATAACTGAAGGTAGTTTCTGTGGATAAACAATACTTTCAAAACTTTATCTCTATACTTATAAAAGGCAAAACTAGGTACTGACAGATGATCATTATCACAAATTATGAGACCTAGAATTATCAAATTTTATATATGTACCTGTATTGTGAAAATGTGCAATAAAAGAAGGTCTTACAAAATCCAAAATTTATTAGTAGGCATATTTATGTTACCAATTGACAGGGGTTTAGGGAGGAGGAAAGCTATTCTCGGAGAAATTCAACTACAGTGTTTGAGCCTGAAAATGTTAAGCCCTTAACCTCAAAAACATTGGAAATTTAGCCAAACTGTTGGAAAATAGTAACAGTTTTTGTTAAAAGTTAATACAAAGATAAAATAGCTAACCTGCGTACTCATCCCATTCTCAACCGATGTTGGCCAAGATAACAGCAGATCAGATGCTTTGTTTACCTACATTTTTTCTAATGTCAAAACAGACTGTTATATTTATTTAACTGTAATATCTTCGTAATGATGTGTTGTGTCCTTTTCTTTCAAAAACCTCTAAATTTAAGTAGGTAATAATGTAAATTAATGCAAGTGGTCATTTAAGTACATAGCGAAGTCATAGCTTGAGCAGGTTCATAGTAGTTTTTAGTAATGAAACAAAAAGCTAAGAATGTCGAGAAAAGCATAAACGGAATGAATATACCCAAAAAGCTTAGAGAAATAAGGTGGTTGGTTTTTTTTTGGCAAGATCTTGATATCCGACTTCATTGGATTATCGAACAATAAGTTAAAAGGGCTGCACTTTACTTTAGGTCCTACACTCATGCGAATGAAAATATCGATCGATTAATCGATTGTTTCATTCGATATACCGTTTGGTTAGTTAGGTAAGGTTAACCTAACCTAACTAACCAAACGATATATCGAATGAAACAATCGATATTTTTATTCGAATGTGTGTAGGACCTAAAGTAAAGTGCAGCCGTTAAAAGTACTTATACATTCAATCAATAACCAAAACTAAATAAAACCCCAACTCCCTAAGTTGTTTTTTTTTCTAAAAAAAGAGGTTGGCGGCCTCTTTTAACCTTGCATTTGCCCATCCACATAGACTAACTGCCCGTGCGTGGAACAGAACGTATCCAGCAAAGCAAGGGGTGAGTCGGTACAGTACAAAGGGGAACTGTACGTTACTGATAAAATGTTTTCGGCAGTGAACAGGATTCGAACCCACGACACAGCTGCCTTGGGCCCAAAGTCTGTGACGCCACCGACTCACCTTGTTATATCAATTGTAACAATTGATACATTGTTGTTTTTCACCTATCCTACCCTTTAATGGCAACTTAGATAAACTTCATGACAGCCTAAATCCATACTCTGCCAGAGCCCTCCCTTCCACAGTTAACTTATTTTTGCTAACTTTACTTAAATGTACAACAAGGAAATCATATGTGGTTATGATTAACCAAAGGGAATATTTTCAGTAGGCAATATGATGGCCAATATCCTAGTAGGACGACACTAATTAGAGAACCGGAATTGGAAAGAACCTTTGACTATTAATACAACTCCAATAAGTCAATGAAAGAACCTAGGCTAGGCCTAGTCCAAAAGTCAATAGGCCTAGCCTAAATGCTACAAATAAACTGATAGCAAAATCATAACTCTTGGTGAAGTAAAGCTTGAGCCCAATATGTGTTCCTTTTACATATAAATTATTTTTGAGACGATTCGGTTAGGCTATAGACTAGTATCATTAATAGGCAAATAAAATAAAGAATTTAAAAAATTAAAAACATTCTAGGCTTAACCTGAAAGTTTTGATTCAAAGCGCTCTCTTACCTTCTCCTAAAAATGCAGTACAAACTGAAATAAAGAGGATCAGGACGGTGTCAGCCCACATTATAAATCAAGTGAAATCTTTTAGGCGCTACACAAAACTGAACAATTCTATTTAGTTTGACTGGACAATTTTTGTACTACTAGCACTTACTTAGCACAGCACTAGCAGAAGCCCAAGTCCGATCAATTTTGATTTTGATGTTGTCAATTGTAATTATCAATTTGGCACTTGGCATGGCAGGCAATGACTGGCAGTGGCAGAAGAAGGTAGGCTTGATTTTCTAAGCTGTGTTATATACTGTTATTTTCTCAATACATAATCAATGTTGAGGTTCATGATTCGAATTATTATCATAGAGGGCATGGATAAAACATACCCTCTTAGCAGATTTTTTTTTTTTTTTATTTATTTATTTACTTTACAATCTGTTCTATTATATACGGAACAATAAGTAAATACTATGTAATACGAAAAATTGACTTTGGAACATTAAAAATAGCTGTTAAGCACTCTCAACAACAAATTTTTCAATAAAAACACTTTACAAAAATCTGTAGGGCAGGTCCAGAATTGATGGCCTCTTAAGCCTGTAAATTGTATCCATGTTGTTTAATAAGTTAAGAGCTAAATGATTTTGATGAGATTCCAATTTCGTAATATATCGTTCACTCATGGTCATGATTTCGTCCTTAACTGTAGGCATCTTAAGGTCTTGATGTAGTGTTCTATTGCTGACATACCATGGTGCATTTGTTATCTTCCTCAGCATTGTCGATTGGTATAGCAGAATTCTATTCCTTGTACGAAAACTAAAGTACCAGATCACTCGTCCCTATCTGCTAATGGTCTACCACTCTCTCTTCCATAGCCACATAAACTATGGACTGGCTGTGTGGGGACATAGCCCCGCTACCCAAAGTCTGCTGCTACTTCAAAAGAAGGCCGTACGTATAATAACATCGTCAAGTTCAACTGACCATTGTCGGCCTATTTTCAAGGAGCTTGGCATCCTGACCATTCACAGCCAATACGTGCTTAACATCCTAGCCCTCCTGAAAGAAAATGAACCATCCTTCATAACTAGAAGTGTACAGCATGATTATGGGACGCGCAGAGCATGTGATCTTGACCTGCCCCGCTGCCGACTCAGTCACACTCTTAACTCCTACCCATCACTTGCTATTCGGCTTTTCAATACACTGCCAATAGGAGTTCGTGCTCTTGACAAAAAGAGATTCAAGTTGACGCTACGCCAGAGTTTGCTTAGTAGACCGCTTTACTCCTGGCAAGAAATCTTTGACGAGCCTCTGGTTTTTGTAAATAATACCGCCATACCCGCCATTGTTGCTTAGTTGTATATATATGTTTTGTGTTTAAATGTTTTTAATGTAAATAAGACGCAATCTATCCAACTTTGTTGGTCAAAGATGAAGTAACCAAGTATCAAGTATCAAGTAAGTAAGTATCTTTGGAGAATTTCTATATTAGAAGTACTCGCTGAGCCCCATAGTTGAACTCCATATGTCCAGATTGGTTTCAATATAGTTTTATATAGCAACAATTTATTTTCTAGACTAAGTTTTGATTTTCTTCCGATGAGCCAATTAAACTGATTAGATTTTAAATTTAGTTGTTGCCGTTTTCTCCAAATGTGTGTTTTCCAAGTTAACTTCCTATCTAAATGGATACCTAAGTATTTAACCTCAGTTACTTCGGGAAGTTGGGTGTTGTTTATTGTGACAGGAGGACAAGAATTTTGATTTAGAGTAAAAGAAATGTGGACAGATTTAGTTTCATTAATTTTGAACCTCCATGTCTTAAACCAATCAGTAATTATGTTCAGATTTTGCTGTAAATTTAGAGAAGCTTGATTGGATCATGATGAACAGACAAAACCGCAATATCATCCGCAAATGTAGCAATTTCTACCAACTCATTTTCTGGGAGATCTGCTGTGTAGAGAATATACAAAAACGGCCCGAGGACACTTCCTTGAGGAATCCCAGATTAAATTGGACGTAGGTTAGTGAGGACGTCTTGATATTTAATTTGGAAAGTCCTGTTTTGAAGGTAGGATTTTAAAATGCTATAAATTGAATGGGATAAAAACTTTTTTACTTTATATAACAAGCCAACATGCCACACCTTATCGAATGCCTGGCTAACATCCAAGAAGGCAGCTGAACAAAACTTTTTATCTTCCATACATTGACGTATCACGTCAACAACTCGGTGAACCTGTTCTATGGTACTGTGTTTCCGTCTGAAACCAAACTGATGTGCAGGAATCACATCTTCGCTAATAAGTTCTTGTATTCTTTTCAGAAGAAGTTTTTCAAATAACTTAGACATTATTGGTAAAAGACTTATGGGTCGGTAAGAACTTACCTGGTCAAGAGGCTTCCCAGGTTTCGGAATGACTATCAATTGTGCTCTTTTGAAATTTGTCATCCTTATGAAACAGCTGAAGAAAATATTATTGTTAGTTCACTCATACGAATTGAATTCAAAGCTCGTCTTGCCTTTGTGTCTCAATTGGGTAAGGGAATATGGAATATGTTTTATATATGGGGTAGGATGAATGATCTTACACTTTGCTGGGTGCCTGACTGAACACTCAGCCATTGAAGGAAACGAACCTGGTGAGGAAAATGTGGCCGTAATTCGATGTCTGTGAGGTCATCCAAAGTGATGGTGTACATAGTTATAATATCAACTTAATATCAGCTATAATATCACTGGTGTTTGATTATCATTTAAGCATGCATTCTTTGTCAACTCTCTAATATTATAATACCTTGATACCTTACCTTGATACCTTGAAGAAAGCAGCCGTTGACCAGTAGACTGGAATGGGCCTTGTCGTTAAAAAACTCAATTATCAATTAATTATCAATTATCAATTATCAATTATTTAAGATGGGGACGCCACTATGTGCGTATTTTAACCCAAATATGAGTGAAGGATGAGTGAAGGATGAGTGTAGGATGAGTGGCGCGATCTTGTAGTCTTGTTAGTGACTAAGGCCGACATGTTCCTTAGACACAGCTGTTAATTAATAGCCCATACAGCTAATGGCAACTAAGGGACCTACAGTTTATAGTGGAATCCGAACCACTCAAAACGCACACACATGCAAAAAAAAAAATAAAAAACTTTTACTTGGCTTGGCGAAGTGGCTGGTTTTGTTTCTCACTTTCCATGAATTCGAAGAATTCCTCCACAGAGTAAAATGCCTGCTCTATAAAAAGTTGCTTAATCCTGTTTTTAAAGATTGAGAGACTGCAGTCCTTGAGGTCTTCTGGCAGACTATTGAACATCTTAAAGGAGCTGTACCTGAAGGACTTAACATTCTTTGCCAGCCTAAATCTAGGGGGGTTTAGGCAGTCTTTTTTCCTTGTGTTGTGCTCATGTACATCACTCCTTACCTCAAGCTCATGTTCACTCTCTTTGCACCACAACAGGCAAGCTGACATATACAGACAGGGGACAGTCATCACTCCTAACCGTTTAAACAGTGGCCTACAGTGTTCCTGCTGACTCCACACTCCTGAGATTGTTCTGATAGCCTCTTTTTGCCTAGCGAAAACTTCATCCCTTCTGGCTGCATGTCCCCATAGGAGGATCCCATAAGCAATTATGCTGTGGAAAAAGGCAAAATATGCATACATCACACAGTCGGGAGTTACGCTGTCTTGCAGTCGCCTTAACAAAAAAATTACTCTGCTGAGTCTTTTCAAAATTACTTCAACATGGTCCTTCCAATCTAACTTAGGGCCCAAGTGGAAACCCAATAATTTGGCCACATCTTGGTCTTCATTTTTCTTTAAAGAGAAAAACACACGTTGAGTCTTCGCCTCATCGTTAAGAGCTAACCCATTGGCCTGAAACCAGATCTTGGCTTCATTGTATGACAGCTCAGTCTGTTCCCTCGCAGAGCCAAAATCCGCTCCCTTGGACATGATGGTCGTGTCATCAGCATAGATAATGGTTCTGCCCGGGATGCAGCAATCAAGGTCATTTATCATAACCAAAAACAGCAATGGTCCCAGCATAGACCCCTGGGGGACGCCTATATTTACCCTCTCTAAACCAGACTCTCTGCCATCCGCCACTACCAGTTGCCTTCTATTCTTAAGGAAGCTTGCCACCAACCTATTAGCCTGATGAGAAACCCCCAGACTTTCCATCTTCCTCAACACAAGTTGATGGCTGACACAGTCATATGCTTTTGACAGGTCACAAAAAACCGCTTCTACAACCTCATTATTGTCCATTGCGTCCATTACAAAGGTACAGAACTGGCATACTGCATCCACGGTTGATCTTCCACTTCTGTAAGCAAACTGTTGGCTACTTAGTAACCCCCCTGATTCAAGAAAAATGGTCAGAAAAGATAACATGACATGATAAGAAGTTGAGGATTCGATAACTGTAGGAGGTCATATAGGTAATTCAAAGAGGCGGATGCACATCGCTTGCCCCTGACTTTTGAAGTTATGTGGTATCGTCGTTTCATAATACAATTATGGGTGTTATAAATAAAGAAGAGGACTGTTAGGGTACCACCATTTTTTCTTTGACGTGGTCCTCAAGATCGGTGCGAATCATCAGAACAGAATGCGTCAATGCGTGTGTTTAGTCTAGTCAAATCAAGGGAGTATGTTTTATCTTTATCCATGGTTGTAACACGGTCACCTTTAACTCCGTTGAAGCATAGATTTTCATTCTTGTGTATAATCAAATAATGGTTAGGTTGTAGTACTGTAGTTGTTGTAACCGTCTTTTTTAAGGCCTATTTTGTGTCTTGGGTACCCTTGTTCATCGTGAAGATCCCCTTGACGATTGTGGGCTTAGTTGATAATTTTTTGCAGACAATTTATTTTTAAATAATATATTCTTAAAATTAAATTAATTATGAAATCTTGATGGTAAAAATTATATCATCAACATCCAAAATTTAATCTAAGTTTAATCAGGATCAGATCAGAGGGAAATAAAGAATCAATCAGTCATCATGGTGGTGTGTTCGTTCAATTTGTTATTTATTTGTATAGTGTGTTTGAGAGTGTCGTGTGTAAATGGATTCTGAAGGCCATTTTTGTGTGCTGTGGTTTAGAGAGGAGCGGAGAAGGGAGCAGGAGATTACGAAACTTGAGATTGAGAACGGAAACACTGCATGACTGCATGTTGTTAGCGCTGCAGACGACGAGGACGAGGAAAACTCAAAAACTGAAAGCAGAAGGTCGGCTACTCGTCGACTCGGCTCGGCGCAAAGTCAAAGTCGCAAACACGCAAGCAAACCACAAAGTGCAAGGCAAGGTAAACGGAGCGAAATGTCATGCTTGGCATAGTTGAAGATAAATGATAAACAAGTCAAAAATTTCTCTGTGTTGTTGAAATTTGAGTTTGAGGGGATCAGTTACAGTAGTAAGTACTATATTTATCAAATGTCGCCTTGTGCTGAGAAAGAGAGCCGAATTTTTTTTAAACAGATAACCGAACAGTTTGAGCTTTAGCTTTAGTCTTAGTAGGCTACAGTACCGAAAAGTCTTGATTGCAATAGTCTAGTCAACCTAACCTAGACCTATTTAAAATGACCCTGTTTTTTTTAGACGTCTAGCCTTTTATGATTGTTTATAATTTTTCACTAGTTATTATTTATACCTACTACAGGCTCGAGAAAATAGGGTGTAACTTAACTTAAGGATTTTGCCTTTTTATTTAAATTTACTTAAGACTCAATATGTAGATTAATACATAACCCAATACATTTTTGCCTTGCTTAACTTAAATAATAGGCTACATAGTGCCTAGTCGGTAAAGTAAATTTGTAGGCCTAATGTTATTTAGACAGCATACAATTGTAACTGTAGGGCCTAATAAAAAAAAAATGAACGCAGAGGATACGCGTCCGGTAACAGGACGTGGATTAGGCGTCCGGCAGTTACTGTCATAACCTAACCTAACCAACCACACTTGCTGATAATGAAAAAATCAAATGAAGGTTCAATTCTCTTCATAACATAAAATTATAAATGCCAAAAATTCTAACAAAAGATGTACAGTTAAGAAGAAATTACATTCAAAGCAAAATCTGTGACAAAAAGTTAAAGAAACCGATGGGATTCGAACCAGGGACCTCTTGGATATATCAGCCGAGCACTCTATCCACTACACAACGAACAACGCTTGCCGAATATCGTATCGTTGTGGTAATGGCGTTCCGGGACCCCACAACCCAGTGACGTCACTACCGGACGCCTAATCCACGTCTGGTTACCGGACGCGTATCCTCTGTGAAAAATGAAATCTTGTCTTCAGCAGACTTAAAGTGATTTTAAACCTTAAGTACGTGTTTGAATTAATTACAGAATTTTACAATGCTTCGGTGGTGGGAGAATGATGATGATTATCGGTCTGGTGCAGCACTGAGCAAGGATAGAGAAGAGTATGTGAAGGAGTTACAGGATCAGTTACGGCAAGAGGAGTCGTTGGCTGGGGAAGGTCCACTGAGGAAATGGAGGTTCAGAGTTTCAGCAGAAACTTCTACTGGGGAAACTGTTTGCATCACAGGAGGTTCCAGAACCCTCGGCCATTGGAACAGCGAGAAGGTGTTGCCCATGAAACAAGAAGAGTATGTTCCATAACTGTGTCCTATGTTTAAGCATTGTTATTTAATAAGATTTAGCTGAACCAATTTCATGTAGGTCTACAGATGTAATTAGGCTTCTATATTGTGCATTATAGTATATTAAGTTAGAAACAGTAACTTAAATTTGCTGAGTCTATGTGATTTTTTTGTATATACCTTACTGAAGATGGATAAAAATTCAGTTTCAGAACTAGCAAGGCAGATCAAAATTGATCCATAACCTAATTTAATCATGTTGTTTTACCTATGGAGCTTTGGGAGAAGATGTTAATCCAGTACTACTGTTTTTGTGTTATCACAGCAAAAAAACAGCCAATTTCATTGCTGTAATGCAAATTTATATTAATTTGTGAGTGTGTGTGAGACAGTACATAGGCACAATAACTGCTGACAATATTTCCAGAATTTATTGGTTTGGATCAACATAAGTTAGTGAAGCAATAACCTAAGATTACTGGATAAACCAGTTTGAGTCTGATCTAAATTTCCCTATAACACATAACCTCCCTCATTTCTAAGAGATATTTGTGTACCGTATCTGAATGGTTGTAAAAAGCTTATATTGTGGTCTCGCTCCATTCTACACGCACTTTGGATTCATATTCAGTTTAAAAGAATGCCTAATAATAATGATGATCAAAGGTTGTCAGTTAAAACCTGATCCAAGCAAGAAACACTTTTTGGTGGTTGAAAACGGACCCAGCTGTCTTTGATCTACGTAGCCTCATTTTTAGTAAATCAGATATTTTTAAACTTGGTCATAATCACAACTTGAATATGATACATTCTTGTTATAGGGATCATGTTTGGACCTGCGTCACTTCAGTTCCTTTTCAGAAGGATGTGGAGTACAGATATTGTGTTTGTATAATGCTGGAGCCTGATCCTGCGCGACAGAATAGCAGGCAAGTCATCGTCCGTCGATGGGAAACGAATCGCTATCCTCGAAAAATAGAAGGCGGTGGTGAGTTATCTTACTAATATTATAAATGTGAAAATTTGTTTGTTTGTGTGTTTGAAGTTCAATTACAAAATACTGAAGTTGAATATGAAGATCAAATACTGGTTGGATTGGGTTGAAATTTGTATGATGATAGCTAACGTTTCCGATTAACGTATATAGACATCTAGGCCCATTCTTATCTCAAAAATCCTTAGTGGCTCTGAAGTTTCCCATGTTAACATTATGAGTTTATTCAATATATTCAGTCTGTCTGTGTCTCGATCTGCCCACAGTCTGAAAGTTATTATTTGGCTGGTCATACCCTACATTTTTGTGTGTACTGTATGTGTGTGTGTGTTGATTCTAATGTGTGGAATGAAAAGTGTCCAACAGAGAAGAAAAGGTAACAACTTAAACCTTAAAACTATAAGGATTATCGATAGTAAAGAGGAATGAGAAATAACCCAGTTATTTTGTAGGCCTATCAATTGTAAATAAATTTAGAACGTTTTTTTTACTGAGACACATATGGAAAAAAATCTTCAGCACTTGTAAAATGTTTCTTAGTCTTGAAAAGTAAATTTTGCAAAGAAAATTGGTTTGTTCTGCTCCATAATCTTTATAAAATTTATCATGTAGCTTCAGTATTTTATAGCTTAATTTATTGCAGCTTTGTCCATCATTGGCTCAAGCTTTGTGGCTCTTCCAAGTTTGGTGGACTTCTGCAAAGTCCACTTTTTTGTTTATGCTCTGCCTCTTGAACGGAATGGTGGCAAATTATAAGTTCTAGACATCGATTTTAGGACAAATCAACCTCTTTACGACTTCCAGTCTTCTAGGGCAATTCTTTTTTTTTCGTTGTGGTTTGGATGTTCTTGCGATGGAGGGCGTGTTGGTTTGAATAATGAGTTGTTTATTAGGATTCAGGAGATTTCTAGGATATATTTTTTATGTTGTTATGTTACAGTGGAATCAAATATCAGTAGGATGGATGCTGAACCAGAAACATTTGGCTTCTATCAAAAGTGGGAGAGGGTAGAGCGAGGATGGTTGACTTCAGAGACTGCTATACAGATCAAGCTTTTCAACCAGCCAATTGAAATGTGGAAACCAAAGTTAAAAAATAGGCCAGTAAGTTATCAGCGAAACACTAATGACAAAACTTATTGTGCAATGAGACAGCTCGCATCTGTTTACAAATGATGCCAGTAAGCAGTGAGTTGCTGTGCATAGGCGAACTATGGAGTTAAATGCACAAATTGCCTTTACTTAACCCTCCAAAGGTCCATAGTTTAGGTCTTAATGTCCACCTATTTTTGGCCCCTTTGTAAGGTTTTATTAAAACGGATCTGAGAAGCTTAAAACAATGTTAATTCTAATGTTCTATATACTATTTTGTTTGGAAAATCATGGGCTTCAATATTATATATAAAACATAAGGAACATTTTCAAAAAAAAATTATTAGGTAAAAAAAAAATATAATTTCGAAAATTTTCAAAAAAAAAATAAGTTCGCGCTCAATGAAATTGTATAAATTATAGGCCTATAAATATTTGAAAATAGCCACTTTGTTCTAAATTTAATGAGGATTACAAATATATAATCATATAGCGAGGTAAGTTATCAAATAAATAAGTTATGAGCGAAAAACGGATTTCAGTACATAGCGTTTAGCTAAGAATGCATAGCCTAACCATAGCTAGGAATCTGGCTGATAATTTACATCAATATCACTACCTACTTCTTCAGGATCATCAACCAGCACTTCAAAACCACTTAAATCTTCTTATAATGCACCACGTATATCACTACTTTTGATTTTTAACACTAAAACAATGATAAACATAATAAAACACATCAGTCATCGGTCCGAGGTTAAGTAACCTGTTTACTAATATGCACGTCAGCTGTCTGCTAACAATTACGATCGGCTCAGAGAACAAACAGCGCTTAGAGACAGACCTTTAGAAAGCTTAGAATCTAATGAAAAGAACGATACCTAACTCGATCCAGTTCAATCCGATTCAGTCAGTCATAGAGCCTTCGCCGTAAACGATGTTTGTGCGTCTTAAACTAGACGCGTGACCCTACACAAAGTGTGTTGTGCGTCTATTTTTTGACGCGTGACCCTCGGAGGGTTAAAAAACACCCCTCATATGTAACTAACATTTTTTGCGTTATTTGTTAGGTACAAACCTTAGTCTTGCTGCTATTTAATGTCAAGTTTTTGTTTAAAGAGCGTCATCAATTGATTGCCTAGTGATAAAATGCATCGAGATCCAGAATCAACCGCGGTAGGATCGAACCAGTAACCTGTGGATTCTAAAGAAAGCGCTTATGGAATAAAATTACAGACAAACCCTTCATATCCGGTAAGGACCCGAGCACCTGGCCGGATGAGATTTTGGCTGTATAAGCTAACCTATTATAAAACAATAATTAATACATCTAGTTAACAATTATGTGTAATTATCAATAAATATCCATAATAAGTTATGTTTAAGTCTATTTTGGGATATTATTTTTAGAAAATGAGAAAATTACAGTTGTTTGTAAACCAATATAAAATATATTTATAGGAAAAAGTGGTCAAATAATTAACATCAAAACATCTATTCAGAAAACTTTGAACTAATTTTAAATAAATATAAAGGTAAAAATTAATAATAATACACTGGCTTTGAAGATTATCATGCCTTAATATAGTATGTAATTTTTTGTCTATTGTTTTTTACAATATAAAACAATTACTGTAGGTACTGTAAAAACCTCACTGGAAATAAACAACCAACTGTTTAGAACTTAGAGGTTAGGCCCATTAGATCATCTAAGTTAGTGGACATGATAAAAATAAACAGATTAACTGCAAGAGCATTCCAGCTAGGGAGCTAGTGCCTGCAACTTTGTGTCTGTAAGCCAAGAGATATATGTTTCGGTTTCGATATCGGCTTCCAAGAAGTGGCCGAATAAACCAAGGACTGGTAAAATTGAGGCTGGATGTCAGGGATTGTACTATATATATTTATTTGATCACACAATGTTGAAAAAACTGTGATTACTTTAATTTAAATATGAGACATAATACATAATGTTTTATACTTTTTATAGCTGCAATTTATAGGACGAATATTATTGACACTTGGCCATTTTACAGATTTATGTTAAGTTAACACCAGTGAATTTAACCAAAGCTAACACAAACTCAAGGCCAGAAATGAGCCCGACTGCGCTTGACGAGACACTTAGCCTTGAAACGATGGATTTAGCTGATAAGCAAGTCACGTGGCCCATCGTAGAAGTTGCTGTAAGTAGCCTACTTGATTGAAGAGATTCAATAACTTGACAGTTATCTGTATGAAATATTAATCAAATCAATAGGCTATTTGAAAAAGTAGGCCTAGGCCCCTTATAACCAAATATTATATTAAAAGAAAAAAAGTTTAAAAAGAAAAAGATTCTTATTGGTAAGTCTCTCTAACAAATGAGGAATTTTACCTTGATTGAATGAATTGAACAACAAAGTAGATGGTTGTTCTAAAAATACCTACTATAAAGATTACTATAAAGATAAATATTTTCTGTGATGTCACATTATTTTTTTGTTAGTGCTGTTTAGTAATGGCCAATTGTAAATAAATGTTTAATATTGTAATTTAATTTTTGCAATGTGACATGTCTTATTTACTGGACATTGATGTTACTATGTTTATAAATAGGGTGAAAATCAAATATAAATGTCTTCTATTTTTACTTTCTCCCCTTACAATAATAATATCTCATATAGTATAATGGAGAAAGTATTGTTTTTTCACCACACTATGATGTTTTTGGCTGTATTACATACGTTAATTGGTGGCTGAAAGTTACGTTTTGCTGGCCATGCCAGCTGTCATAGAAATTTGGGGACCGAGCAGGTTTTTACAGGCCGGGGCCGCAAAATCAGCTGTCCGCTTACTTAAAACATGAATGCATTTTAAATACACAATCAAAATCCATAGCATTGCAATAGAATTGTGTTATTGTCGCCGTTGCCTAGCAACTATTTATTTTTATTTTTGCTGATTCCTCAAATTATTTCTTTACATAACCTTAATGTTGTAGTTGTGTTGACTATCAGTGTGCATTATTATAGTGGTGAATAGTGGTAATAGGGTATAGTGTGGGGAAAAATAGCGTTCGTACCACGCGCAGAAATGGTTTTGCAGCTCTCGATCGATTTAAGTTCTCGACTTCGTCTCGAACTTAAAAACTATCTCGAGCCGGCAAAACCTCATTTTCGGCCCTAGGTACGAAATATACTATTGTCCACATTTTCGTGTTTAAGTTTTGAGTGGATACATCCCATAAAATAAAATAACGGAAAAATATAATTTTATCTATGATGGCTCATTTTGATGAAAATTTAGTTTGTTATAGCTCTTTAAATTTTGAACAAAATGGTAGGACTCCCATTCCTGTAAAAATTACGGCTCAAAATTAATTGTAACTTACGTTATCTATAAGTATAAAAGATTTTCTCATAAAAAAAACCCTCAGAATATATTGTCACCAACATATTTTACTTGCAGGTGATGAATGAAGCAGAGAGAGAGTTCCATCCACAAGAACAATTTGGAAGAGTCGTCAAAGAAAATGATTTTATAATGTTCCAAATTTTAATGCACAACCCAGAGACCGTTGTAAGAATTAGTTGATACTTATTAACCAGTAATACTTTAATATACACGAAACAGGTCAATTGAATATAGAATTGGCTTAGCCTAATAAGAAAATGTTCTAAAATTCAGTGTATTCAGACTCTTACAAGCTAGACTTTTGGATACTCCATAGTCAAAGGCTACAGAACTTAAGAAAGGTATGTTAGAGCTCTCAAAAGTTTTTTTTTTACTTGGAACTTGGAAAACCTTGAGGCTGACTACAGAGTTTGTTAGGCATGGAGTTCAGCTAGCTTAGCTAATTAGATTCTGGGAGCTACAGAAAAAACAAAAGAACTCATTATAAAATCCCCATATGAAGTACAAGGTTTCTTTAGTCATTTGTCCATATTCAATAAACAAAGGAATATTAAACACATCACTATTCAATATCTAAATTCAATATCTAAAATATTTTACTTTTCGTTATCTTCATTTTTACTTTTGCAGATATCCTGTTTGGTACACACATTTCAGAGTTACAATAATTTAAATTTACTATCATAAACAGCTACCGTTCCAATTTTTAATTTTAGGTATCCCATGTGTTAATAGGGAACAGGGGATTCCTCATGTTTGTGTAGAGAGATTGTGTATTAGTTTAATGTTAAATGCCTAAAGCAAATCATTTACTTAGGCAAGTTAAAGTGGTCAAAATTGGTTTTTTTGTCCCAGGACGCTATGCACCTGCCTGGGATTGTTTTCACATTTCTTCAGGCTTGAATTATCCATTAGATAAAATCCATTGGGAATTTGGCGGGATTTGAACCTGGAATCTCAGGGACCGAAGTCCCACGCTCTGACCACTAGACCAGCTCGCTCCCTCCAAAGTTGGTCAAAGTTTGTTAGTCAGTAGCACCACGAACTTCGGTCACGAAGGTCTTGGTTTCACATCCTGATACCTGTTACTACTTTTTATCTGTACAGTCCTCGTACTGTATCGGCTCACTACTTGCTTTACTGGATATGTTTCACACACAAGAGGTCTATGTGGACTCAAAAGCAAGATTTACTTAGACTAACCTCTTAAAAAAATTGAGACTCATTTATTTGTAAGCTATTCTTTTATTGGTTATTTAGGCATACCTGATGGACTTCTATGCGTACGGGAGTAATGCAGCTGAAGGCGAACCACCGTATCACGTTGGCTTCAGCTACATTCTGCCGAGTGTTATGAAAGGCAGCGAAGGCCAAACTGTCGCTCCCATCACGAGTACTCGGCAACGACCCATCGGACAGATCACTGGTGAGTCGAACTTCTAGAGATGTGTAAGCTTGAGATTTTCTATCAAGTCGAGCTTTTGTAATGAATGTGTTGTGATGCTCTAGAATAATTTATGACACTAATTGTCTTTACAAAACTATTAAAGAGCCGTGATATGGTGTTCACAATATTTTTAAGTGCATATAATCGGGATGAAACATGAAACAGTTTCAAATAAATTTTACGTCATTAAATTTCCTTCTAAAGGCAACATTCTCTGATACTAATATGGCATTCAACCCAATGATCAACTATGAATACTTATTAATTAGGGATGCTCAAGTCTCGAAATTTCGGGAAATTTTAAATCTCGTTACACAAGACGAGTTTTCTTTTTGGCCGAGATTTTTATCGAGACGAGAATAAAGAAAAAAAAAATTAAAAACGCCTGCAGAAAGTCAATGCAATACCCGCAATACAGGAGCGTGTTGTAGTTGCGTTTCTTTTGCGAAGGCGTTCTTATTTAATTAATTCTTTAAATGTAAATATTACTTTAATTATTTTAATAATATTACTTTAATAACATTTGAGAAGTTTTGTTAAGTGTAAGCAGTGTGAGGAATGTTTTATTACTATAAAAAGTCAAAACAAGTAACTATTTTATAAAAATTAATATTGCTTTTATTTTATGATTTATTTTATTTTAGGATAAGTTGAACTCTATCCTAACTGATATCACTATATTTCCTAATCGTAGGCATTTTTAATAAGTTAGGCGTGATTAATAAAAAAATGTTATGCTGATGTTTTTTAATAAAAGATTGTAAATATTCTTGCCTATTATCATTATTTTTGTATTTAAACAGTCATCTAACAATGTTACAAAATCAGGTAAAAATTTTGAACGTGCATTTCCCGTTGTGTATGAGAAGGGAAATCCCGTCTCGAAATTTTATGAGAAATAAAAAATCTCGTCTCGTCTCGTCTCGAACTAAAAATCCAATCTCGTCCATCCCTATTATTAATATACCAATAGAAAATAACTTAACTTCTTGAAATTGAATTTAGCAATTTAAATAAACTAAATTAATTTGAAATAAATATTAAAAACCTGTCAATTGACAGAATTATAAAAAAAATTAAAAATCTGAAGGGAATTAGTTTTTTCCCTACCTACTTTTTTTAGGGGGGCCTGAAAAAAGTTTTTTTTTTTTTAATAGGGGAAATACTTGTTTTAACCTGAAATTAAAAAATATAAAGGAAAATCAAAATTTCTATCTGGCCTGTTTAAAATATTTCTGTTTAGTATTTGTTTTAAAATATTAATATGGGTCAGTGTATTCCGACTGTTTACAGTGGAGTACCTTGTTGTGAAGCCCGTAGCCAATGTTCAATGCGACATGCAGACTTCCATGCAACGAGAGTGGAAGGAAACGTGGCGGGGATTGGACGTGGGGCATCGCGGGGCTGGCTCTTCCTTCAAGTGTGAAATCAAACAGTTACGAGCATTTGGTTATTGTTGTGTACGAATAGGTTAAATTTTTTAGGCACTAAAATAATGTTACTTAAGTAAATAAGGATGCTTTATTTCTAAAAAAAATCACCACAGTGTTTTGAATCCATGTTCTAATTGCTTCTAGTTACACACTACAGTACAGATGTTGATTCTTGTTGAATATAAAATGAGTTGATAAAAAACACATATAAAACTCGGCTTGTAAAAACACATAAAACTCGGCATGTTTTACACATGTAAAACACAGCAGAAAAATTGTACACATGTCAGATTGATAGTTGGGTAGCTGAGTGGTTAGAGAGGATACCTAGAAGTTGGATTATCTACTCAATGTAAACAAATTCTTAGCCCAACAAAAATATTTTATTTTTTCACAACAAATATTTTACATACTACACTTATTCAGATATAAAATAGGCCTATATTTTACATTTGCTTCACACTGTGTACTAAGGGTTATCTTTTTGTAGTATACTGATAATGACACTAAAAACTATTGTGAAAATACACTATGGACAAAAAATTGCTTAACACAATAAATAGCCTAAAAAAACTAGAAAGGTTTATAGCCCAGTCAATGAAGATATAAGTAAGGCAGATGTCGGAAGTAATTATGGGAAAGTTGGATTTTTCAATGCTGTTAGACCATAATGAGATGTGTATTTTCCCAAAAGTCTCCGCTACTTCCCCTTGTGCTTTCTTCACATACCCCCTTTTTGGATAAATTTACAGTCTCTTTAAAAATCAGCTATCACTTAAAAAGGGGTAAATATAATACTACAATCTTTCGATAATCATTTTTTGCAATAAGATTTTCTACAAAAAATTTCCTTACCATGTCAGCCTTAATATTTATAGTTTCGTCAAAAAAGTAACACGAACATAAACATACATACACAAACACAACATATTTTATAAAAAAATCTCATTGTGAAAATGAATATCAAGAGATTATAGTTTTATCTTTACTGGTACAAATGTAGATGTAGATAGTTATCTCACTCACTCTACACTTCTCTAAGTCTATTCTAGTCCAGTTTGCGATATTTTTTTATTCGATATTTCATCAGCCTTCCATTAGAATAGATACAAAATTTCAATTTCTTGTTAAGGTCAATATTTAAATTTTCATCAAAACTAATACAATTCAGTGGGAAACATCGATGTTTCAATACTTGGCCAAAAACATCAGTAACCTACCATTGATGTAAAAAACATCAAACATCGTTGTTTCAAAAACATCGACTATCGATGCTCATCTCTATAAAAATGCCCTTATCACTTAAATTGACGATTGTAATCACAAATAATAAATCAAGTCTAGACTCTAGACTCTACCTCTGAGAATATATCACGATTATTCCTACATCTAAATTGATTATCTTTAATGTATGTGTAATAGTTGTCATGTTACGAGGATATATGTCCCAAACTTCATCAAATAATGTGACTATATGTTTAGTAGAGTGTCACAGGGGAATTCTTCAATAATGAAGACTTTCACCAATTTGAATCTAGTTGCAGTATAACAGTGCTTGGAATAATCAACACACAAAAGACAAAACAAACAATATCCATCATCATTACTTCCATGCAAAGACCGTTCTCTCTATACTATTCCAAGACTACCTTCAAAAGAACTTCAGTTATTAATCCTTCATCTGCTTGTTACAGATGTGCGGATGTGAGAGAGAACACGATTGCTTCCCTCAAGTCAGCTGCCTCGTACGGAGCTGATTTTGTTGAGTTTGATGTCCAACTGTCTAAAGATTTGGTACCTGTTTTATATCACGACTTCTACATTTGTATTTCAATGAAGAAGAAGAACAATGGAGCTGGTGACTCTGACATGCTGCAAATGCCGGTCAAAGACCTAACGTTGGAACAGCTTCACTTGTTAAAGGTAGGGAAGTTTTTTTGAAAATAGTTTAATACTGTATTCTAAAATATTTTAGAAAGTTTTGACCTTTTTCTTTAGGTGTTTCTGTTACATTTTTATCGGATTTAATATCGGTCTGACATTAATCAAAGTTGCTGTTACACCTTGGAAGTTCTTTGTGAAAGAAATTTGATTTTTTTCTAACTACTATTAAGAGTTAACACTAAGTGTTACTCGGCTATCTGTTACAATGGAGTAACACTTAAGATAGATTTTGTACCCAGTAATCTTTTTGCTCATCTGTACATCTGGATAACAGTAAATTATAGCTGGTTAAAGAACACTTAGTGGTATATATAGGGTGTCCCGGAACTCTCTACCAATATTTTAGGACATTGCTCCTGGGTAAGAAACATACCTAAATATCATATTTAAATTGTCCGGAAGTTCTTAGTTACTCACACAGCCGCCATTTTGTTTTTTTTTTTTATTAATTTTTTTCTAAAGAATGGTTAAAAATATGAAATGGAAACTTTACACAAACATTTATGACAACTAGACATAGCTACTAAAAAACTATGACGATTTTTCAAATTCATAAAACAAAATGGCGGTAATTTAAAATTTTTATAAAATTAACGGTTTTCGAGTTATTTAAGAAACAAAATTTTAAATGGTCGCCATTTTGTTTTATGAATTTGAAAAATCTTCATAATTTTTTTGTAGCTTTGTCTAGTTGTCATAAATGTTTGTGCAAAGTTTCCATTTCGTATGTTTAACCATTCTTTAGAAAAAAATTAATAACTGAAAAAAACAAAATGGCGGCTGTGTGAGTAACTAAGGACTTCCGCACAATTTAAATATGATATTTAGGTATGTTTCTTACCCAGGAGCAATGCCCTAAAATATTGGTAGAGAGTTCCGGGACACCCTGTAGATTCAGTTGGCCATTAAAATTAAGAGTTTTTAAAACTTGTAAATGGTTGTCAAAAGTGTTTAATCGCAAATTTACGTGCAATATTTCAGGGAGGTGTAATGTTCAGTTTTCATTTCTAGGATCATAGTGTGCCTCCTCAAAGTTTGTTACACTTTTGTGATTGTAACTCTAACGTGGTAAGAGCATGACAGGAAATACTGCACATGCTTGTTGAATGACTTGGCTTTTGAGAACAACTTATCTTACCTATGTTACTTTTTTCCTATGTTCACAAGTTTCACATGACAGACTATGCGTTTGCGATTGAAACGGCATTATTACATTAGGGTTTTTAACTGAACTGATGCAACCGTAACCTTAGACTAAAGATTTCACTTTGGGACTATGTTTTAAACTAGAGTGTGAAATTGACTTTGAAAGTGTGCTGGAATAATTTCAAGTCACTTCAGGCTGGTTTTCCCCACTGACTGCCATGTCAGACTACCGTCGGATTACGAAGTATCAGATAATCAAGGGGCAACTGTACTCGTCTTATATTCTTAACGTTTGTTTTTCAAAACTTCTGCTCACAATTTTAGAATACCATGGATTGACACTTAGCAATTGTAGATTCTTATAGTTGCAATTAATTTACTTATCACACGACTATTGACACTGCAATCCACTCTTTAGCTACAATTTAGTGGATACGGTAGAGATTGTTTAATGAAACTGGTGTGGACTTATGAGGTATTTCACCATATGTTTGTTGACGCAAGACATTATTCAAAATGGTTTACACAGTAAATAGTATTAAACTTTATACGTAAAAATCAGTTAGACTGGTACCACCAATGTGCAATAATTTCTGTAAGATACAAGTTCTTTACCTAAGTATATATTGAAACACTTTCCATATTGATTTAGTAAATTTGATTTCAGGTGCATTACTCTTTGAATTTGTTTGGCTGTTAGCGTGTTTATACTACATTAGACGCTCAAAATCTAACCTATACAAATAATATACAAGGAATAAATATTTGTCTTTAATCTGTTAAACGCTTCTTACTGGTTACGCACCTTCAATTTTAAATTGCAAAATACGCATGACACACATTTTATGTTGATATTTGTAGACATTTGGTTTTTGTTTTTATTGACCACAGGTTATATTGTTCAAGAGATGCAAACAAGGCAGCACTTAAATACTGCAAAATGTGCATTACAATACATTACCACATACTGTATCATAAGTTGATTGAAACTATCAGTGAGGAATTTTGCATTGTCTTTAAACTGTGCCGTGCAATCTACCCTACTCCTTGCTTGCTATAACCATAAAAAAACCACACAGGCAAATTCCAGGATTTTTAGAGTCTAATGTAGTATAAAAATTAGGTAAATTCTTGGCATGAGCACTTTCTGCATTAAATTATGATGCTTGGCCATAATGTGATGTATAGTCAATCGTGAATAGATGATAATTTTTTGTTAAAAACAGCGTCTGTTCTATAATTAAATACTATAAATGTTAAGTGTTAAAAACCTGTTTGTGTTAGGAACAAAAAACAAAACCCCAAGTAGTGTTATCATCATTTGTTTAATTTATTTAGTTCATTTTGAGTCCCTCTTATGAAGAAGAATGTACCGTATTCCATTGCCATAATAAAATAGTATGTTTAAGTTTAGGACAGTTTTTTTTTTCTTTGAGGTCTCTTAAAGGAAAATGCATTGATTCTATAAATATTTATATACATGTGTGTGTCCTTGTATCTCCAAAGCGAAATCCCTTACATTAAAATTGGTTTTACATAACATTTGTTACATCATTAAACCAAACCACTATAAAACTCTTACAATTGTTCCATAAAACCAGGCGACCGTAAAAAAAGAGTCTATCAGTGAGGTGGGGAAGAGGTGTTTCTTACATCCTGTATATAATCAGCTGTTGGATTAGTTGGTTTACGTTACTTTCCTTAACATTTTTAAAAATTTTTATAAAAATCCTAATTTTTGAAAAACACTTTTCATAAGGTTGTTGTAAAATATTGTTGAAACTCAGTGAGGAGAGTAAGTTGAACTTGTCAGCTTCAGCTGACACATTTCATTGATTTGACTTTTTTCTACTCAGGTTTATCATCTAGAAGAGGGCCGCAGCAAAAACTTGAGATTCTTTGATGACGATCAAGAAGACCACCAGCCGTTCCCTACCCTGAAGCAAGCTCTAGAGGTTCTGGAACCTACAGTTGGCTTCAACATTGAGATCAAGTGGACCATGAAACTCAAGGTTTGACATTTAAGCTTCCGTGGGTTTTTGTTATTGGTTTTCTTATATATGAAAGCATCTCTAGTTTCGACTGATGTAACAACCATTCTCTTTGCCTTGACTATTTATTCCACTATTTTTTCAGTCCCAACTATAAAATTTCCAATACTTTGACACATTCATTTTTTTAAATTCTTACTGTCCTCCTATTTGTGTCAGACATCCAAAAATATGTGATTACCACCAAAAGTGAAATAAGAGATTCCTACCCAACTAGATCCGGAGTAAACTCTTTGCATACACCCTAAAATACCTTTGCTAATTTCTTTGGGTTTTCCAGCTTTTCTCCAGGATAGTCCAGTGGGGGAGTGTTGCACGACGTCCAAGTGCCACGACGTCCAATAATATTTTTCTAGTGCCACGACGTCCAAAACATAATTTTTGAGTTGTTGCACGACGTCCAAGTGTCACGACGTCCAAAAGTACAGTAACTGCCAAAAATATAGTCTTTCTACAAGCTTTGGACGTCGTGGCACTTGGACGTCGTGAAACAGCGCACTATATAATTGTAAAGACGTATCATTTGCACCACGTCCAAAGCCTCTGCCAGTTGCACGACGTCCAAGTGCCACGACGTCCAATCAATATTTGACTGTTGCACGACGTCCAAGTGCCACGACGTCCAAAGTGCCTGCACACTGTGAACACTGTTTGCCGACCTCAGTGCATACAGTTCGCATTGCAATTATTGAAGGCAACTAGTCCTAGTCAACTGTTTGAAAGTTGTCAACCGCTTCGTCTTCGATTAATGTTTAAATTATTCAATATTCAATGGTTCTAATTGAACTAATTATTGCATTAGCTTAAATTTTTTATATGTAAAATAAATACTATGTCACCGTAAAATGTAATGATGCAGTATTTCTGTTGTTATGATTGCATAATTGATTTCTACAAAATAGAGCTATGTCATAGAAACGAAATAAATAAATGACTACCTACACTATTCACTATATTGTATGATTAATACAATAAATTAATCACTAGCCCAAAAGTAAATATGGTTGGTTTTAATGTGAGTAGTGGTAGAATTCTAAGTACTGCAGTAGAACGAATTGTCATACTATATCAATTGGTAGCAAATTTACTCGTAAGATAAAATGTATGCACAGTTTTATAACAGCTGTAAGACTTCCCATTTAAGTACCGGTATCATTGAAATTGTATAACTTCCATTGAACAGAAATGAGATAAGTAGATATTGATACACAGATATATGAATTTTCATACACTTATAATATGACGAATTCAAAAAAGTTGTATCCGTCAAATGTGCTAAATATTATGTAAACTATCAACTTTTTAAGCTATAATGATGTTACTACAATGGTTAAAAATGTTTCCTGTGAAACAGTGGGAATAATTCGTTTTAAAAGAAATCATTCATCATGGATATAGGAAATAATTAAGATTCTATAATCATTGCCCTATCAACCTAGGCCCTTTTCCTGAGTGTTATGAGGTTTATGTTTTGATTTATTTTTGTGTAAACCGTAATATAATCCCCCTGCCACAGCAAATCTGTAGACTGAATTTCCATTTGCCTGATTATATAATTTCACTAAAATATGTTAGAAAATTACCCTTTTACCATATTTATTTATATTTTCCTATTTTTCCTATTTGTCGGTATGGAACTATTGTGATAGCTTTTTGTTTACAGTGCAAACCATGGATGTATGGATGGATGGATGGACATTGTGACAAGCAAACGCGAAAAATACTAAACCGACAAGGTTGAACTTTGGTATGATGATAGATGACATCCCCGATTAACATATTCTTACCTCAAAAATTCTTTCAGTCTCCGCCCCAGTGGCTCTAGCTCTGGACTTTCTCATGTTAACCTTATGAGAATTCATATTTAAAAAAATTAAAGAATTTTGTCAGCCGTTTCAACTGTACAAGTTGGTTCTATGATATTAAACAGCATTAAAAAGTTATAAGGCTTGCCAAACAGGGTGCAGCACTATTATGTTGTTTGTTTGCATTAATGACCACAGCTAATTTGAACCAACTAGCAAAAAAAGTTGTGGTACACAATGAGAACTTTACTTTTTCCATGGTCTAGGTGCAAGAACATCAGGACTATGGTAGATGTGTGCTACACAATAGGATACCGTATAAATTAAGAGACCAGTTTTTTTTTTTTTTTAAATCGTGTCCTCTTCCATAACTGCAATAAGCATTTATACTTATATGTCAACCCCGTACGAAGGACGGGTACTCTGCTAGTAACACAATAATACAAATACAGTATACTAATACAATAATACTGTAGGTTTCCGTAGTCTGTGGCCGTAGGTTCATCTGAACTGTCAATCAATTCTGAGAAATTCACAGTTGTAAATTCTTACTAGTCTTTTTCTAAGTTCACGTCGCACTCGCAATTAGTTCGCATGTTTTATGTAGGAAAACAGGTATGCCCTAAGTCATAGCATTTGTAGGTTAAGTATAATAATAACAAACATGCTTATCGTAGGTTTGTAGGCATACTTGTTCAAGAATATGCCGTGGTAGGTTTTGTTTATAAATTTTATGTTTTAATTCTTGTCTAATGACGATATTGATTTGTATTAGTGCGAAAATGTTAATTTATTTGTCAAGGGCATGAGCGGCCCTCTAGTCTATGTATGTTACATGAAGCACAACATGAAAAAGAATAAATTAAAGGAAGGTAAAAAACGGATCAGTTGCTGAAGGTCTAAATCTCGGAAGGTCTAATCAGACCTTCGACACACATTTTGCAGTTTGTACTTGATGCTGAGGATCCCATGAATCCTGTACAAAATATAAAAAAATGTTTCATTCAAACTACAATTGTATTATTTTATTACTTTTCCGAGAACCAGCCTTTATCAGGACTTCCGCTCCCACGCTAGTTGGCAACATCAACTGTGCTATATGAAAACAATAAATCTTGAGTAAATATACTGTAATGTTGAATTTTGAGGTTGTGGTGTTCCTTCGTAAACACATTCAATTATAATCTAGGAATATGTAAATTTATTGTTTTACGTTAACTTTATTGATATTCGATTCGCTACAGTACTATTAAACCTATAACATTTTCAATTCATGTGCGTTGTATTTTAGAGTTGGGGAAACAAAAGAACCCTGTGTGCAACTTATTTATATGATACTAGCTGTGTGCCCGTTCTACGCACGGGGATCTTAAAGTAGTCAGTTGAAACCTTCTTATATTAAGAAAAGCAGTTGGTTTGCATATTTTCAGATATGCTGGCAAAACTATTATATATAAACCTTCGCAAATACAGTATCTGACAGTTTCAAGCCAAAACAAATCTATGAGGCATAGCCCTAAGGCCTATAGTTGAAAGTTACTTCCCACAATGGTTAAAGGCATTTAAAGTACTACCTCAACCTTACCATTTAACACTTTATTCGGGTTGACATTTTCATTATCAAGGTGCTCTTGTCCTTTTCGTGACACTGAGAAATAAGGACATAAATGCGTTACCAACAGACATACACACAAAAATACAGAACTTAATTAGGGAATTTGCTACGTTTTGAGCATAACAAAGTACATATAAAATTAGAATTTGAAATCTTTGTCAATGTCATCAAATTTTATCATAACAATTTATATTTGCTTGGACCGAAGATGACCCGAAATGCTGTCGAAATGACGGCTTACTTTATAAAATGAAGTACTATAGACAATTTAGATTGGTAATGGTAATTTAACCTGTAATAAAAATTACCAAAATAGGCCACGAACTATTGATACATAAACAACGTAAATCGTAAACAATTCATGATGGTTTGCTAAACAAATGTTTTACTTAAATGAGTTATCATTTTCTTAGCATAAACTAACATTTTGGAATCCAGACAGAAAAAGCAAAACTTATACAGTTAAGGCATCAATTAAATTGAATAAGGCTGTAATACCACTGTATAAATAAGGTGCAACACCAACGATAACTAATTTGTAAATTACAGTGATGTGTTGGTACGTAAAAATGATTCTTGCTGCTGCCAACGGTTCTAAGGAAAAAAACCAGTACCAAAAACCAACGTTTACAGTTAAGAATTACGTCCGACAAATTAAATGCGTTAATCAAGTCCCAAGGTTATTGATTTCTTGGTTTTGGATTTTCTCGTGAAAAGTTATCGGCAATCAAAATTATTTCCCATTGCTTTATTCGTAAACAACTTTTAATGTAAACTTATTCAGTTTGAAAAAAAAACAACCTTATAAAAAAAGTTTCCCAGCCCTATACAACACTGATTCAAGGTTATCAAAACTCAAGAACAATTTTATACACAAAGAATCTCTGGTTCCTAACCTGGATGATGTTATTAAATTTCATTTACGGTTTCACTATATTATTCCACTTGCGATTAATTAAATCCGTTATGTAAGACAACGATTTTAATCTCACTTGGATAAATGGGCTTTGCCTTCAAAACGTGATCGGAAATGGTTGTGGTATTTGTGAACATATCAGTGACAGCGAGAAAAAATAATCTTGATCCGAACAGCTGTTCGTTATTTCATAGATCATTATGTGATAAAAATTGGACGAAAACTTGACAAAAATCGCACAAAACTGCATTTTTTAAAGTCCGTAATATTATTTACTAAGTAGTGAGGCCATATTTTAATGGCTAAAGACACTATCGCCAATCCAGTGAATACATTAAAATGACTTGGATCTTGATAGGTACTCTCGTTTTCCTGGAGAAGATTGCGTAAAATGTCATCTTGAGTGTTACAGGAAGACAGACAGACAGAAATTTAGATGAGACTTGTTTCGGCTTCTTTAATGTATAAAACGTAAAAATAACCTACAAATGAATGATTCTGAGCAATGTACAGACAAAACACCAATTTTATTTATATAGATTCTCATTGGTTGCAATTTAATAAGTGGTGTAGCAAAACACAAACACAAAATTTATTGAAATGAAATTAAGTCAATGTTAAGTGAATACTATTAACAAACATATTTGCTACATAAAGACATTTAATTGAAGCCTAAAAAACAGTTCGAAAAAGGCATTCTATTCCTTATACTAGTAAAAATTAAAATGAGGGTATAAAAAATAGTTTTCAAAGATCATGTTAATCAATGTACATTCATCTAGTCTTGAAAAAATTAGTATTTAAAAGCTTACTCCAAACATAATGAAGTTGATCGGTTGTCAAGAAAATGTCATCATTTTTCAAAACATGTAAACCTTATAGTTTTCCAACTGTTGCCTTGTTTATTTTTTTATTTTTATGTTTTTTTTTTACTTTATGATGATTCAATTAATGGTTCAAATATTCATAGTATGTATATTTCTGAACAAGAACATATACCCATGTATATATAACTAATAAACGTTCCATAAGCATTTTACACGAGAGAACACTATTCGGCAAGTAGCCGGTCATCGTAACCGGTTATCATGAAGGAGCTTGGACGTCGTGCAACAGCGCTGAGCTATATTGGACGTCGTGCAACAGTCAAATATTTATTGGACGTCGTGGCACTTGGACGTCGTGCAACTGGCAGCGACTTTGGACGTCGTGCAACACTCCCGCAAATGTAACTTTTTTACAATTCTATAGTGCGCTGTTTCACGACGTCCAAGTGTCACGACGTCCAAAGCTTGTAGAAAGACTATATTTTTGGCAGTTACTGTACTTTTGGACGTCGTGGCACTTGGACGTCGTGCAACAACTCAAAAATTATGTTTTGGACGTCGTGGCACTGAATAAATATTATTGGACGTCGTGGCACTTGGACGTCGTGCAATGCATCCGTCCAGTGGTAGTGTCGGAATGTTTAGGGTGTTTTAGGTTATGTTAGAGTAAGCTATTTGCAGTTTTTTGTAGATTGTGATCAGTGTATCAACAAATTAACATCGTTCCTTGTGGCACAGTAGGGTAATTTACAATACAGTAAACACACTTTACATACGAAAAAAGTGCTTTCAAACAATACATGATCAGAGAATTTCAAAGCTTTCCTGCTAAAAATTAGTCTTTTGTCCAATTCAGATTCAGGATGCTATTTAGAACAAATGCAAAAAAATTTGGCATTCACATAGTGTCTACTAGTGTTTTGTATGTATTTCTTCTCAATCACTTTAAACTAACTGGACAAAAACAAATGGACAGTAATCATCTATCTTTAGTTACAAGTCTGATTCCAGTTCCTGTAATAGTGATGTTTTTTTTTTCAGGATGGAACTTATGAACTCTACCATCCATTCGACTTGAACCTCTATCTGGACACAGTGCTGGAGGTGGTCTTGAACCACGCTGGATCTCGGCCAATTGTCTTTTCTTGCTTCCATCCCGACATTTGCTCAATGTAAGTAGACTAATGATTTCAGTTAATCAAGGGCTCAATAGAATTGTTGTAACAAAGCTTCATCTTGAATCTGAGATACATTTAAAGTAATTTTTAGTGGTTATCCTCAGAGCAAAGTAAAATTTGCGATGTCTGTGTTGGCAGGATTCGTCTAAAGCAGAATAAGTACCCAGTAATGTTTCTGACACAAGGAATCACCAGCAAATACCCTCCGTACCATGATGAGAGGTGCCTCACGGTTCCCATGGCCGTCCACTTTGCTGTAAGCTTAGGAATATTGGTAAGTGAACGTGTAACAGCTGTTCAGCCATGTAATTTAAAATCGCTCTGACTATTTAAAGATTTTAGCTTACATCAGTTGATAATATATCAAATTATAACTAATAATTTATACCGTTATACCATTTAAAAATCTATGCTCATTAGAGCTTCATTATTTTAATAGGATGTTCGTTATTTATACAGATTTTTTAGATCTAAAAGTCCATTAAAAATTAAATTTAAAACAAGGATAAAAAAAAAACTATAACCATAGAATAAAATTAGAAGTTTAAAAAAACTTTTAATTGGCCTAACTAAAACAATACAAAAAATGATTACTCCAAGACTTGAACCTTAAGTAATTGCTAGACAACAGCATAACAATGTGCATTTCTGCCAGCCTTTTAACTGTTTATGAACACAGGGGATCAACGCTCACACCGAGGATCTGCTGAGGGACCAGTCACAAGTGTCGCTTGTCAAACAGGCCGGACTGGTGTTGTTCTGCTGGGGAGACGACAACAACGACTTGGACACCATCAAACGACTCAAGGATCTTGGTCTGCACGCCATCATCTACGACAAGTGAGTGACCCATACACGATCATTATCTTGAAATTTGCTTGGTAGTAAATACAATTTTTTAAACGTTCAGAATACTCAAGATGAATTATTTAACACACTTCTTAAACTTTGAAGTAAAGGTTAAACTTATTTCGATGACAAAAATTAATCTTTGATTATTTTAATTAATGAGATAACCACTTCTCAGTCGTGCCAAAAGATGGTTTCCATTTTAATTTTGTTAAAGCCATTGCATAGCAAATTATCAAAACCTCAAATGTTTCAGGATTGATAAATTCGGATCAAAAGTGATCAAGGAAAGCATATTTCGACTTGAAGCCAGGGAATCAGAGCGATGTGTGATCAGAGCTGTTGCTGAACAGGCTGAGAGAGATAAATCTGAGAACTCAGCAGAGCCTGGGCCGAGCTTCCGCCAGGTGAGGGAATATATCAGGATAACACTTATTTACTTCCTTCTCAAGTTTAATAGTGTAGGTAAAGGGAATTTTCCCCGTGGTAAGGGTGTTTGACCAACGGTAATTGACCAGATGACTTAGATGTCATGCTATAATAAGATAAATTTTGAGAAATAGAATTTGTGTATACAGTTGTAGATTTAGGATGACAGTAATTCAACAGTAAACACTACTGTATAGTAGATTTCTTTGAATAATAGCTTTCAAATTCCAATCATTGACTTTAACTGAAAAAGTTTTTTATCTGAAAAGGCCTCTCCCACTTTATTTTGGTGTACCAAGAAATAAAAAGAAAAAAATTAAATGGATACATCACATGTGGTTCAAACTCACAATTATTGAGACTATTATTATACTCAACTCAAACAATGATTTGACATTACATTATCATCGGTTGTATAGATGCTTTAAGGAAAAGATTTTAGCACCTACCTGCACCATGTTTTTATGTTTGTGCATCATCTCGTTCAGACTGTTAAATAAAGTAAAGATTATGGTTACTGTACCTACATTGTATATTATTACTACATCCACAGTTCAAGCGTTTTATCCTGTTCAGGTGGAGGATCCACATTATCTAAATCTTGACAAGGCTAAGCTACTCTCCTCCGCAGGATCCACTTCCTCCTGTGTTTCTCTGTGGAACTCTGACGGGAAGTCGACAATCCAGTCTTCAGATGTCAGCTAGTTTACATATGGATTAGCTGGTTATTTCAGGGTTGATATTTACAAATGTTTATGCGACAAATTTATCGCTTAGCAAAACAAGTTCAATTGTGATATTGTAGGATTACTTCTTCAATCGTTGGCCAATAATTATGTGAGAAATATAGTGATTTTTTGTTTGGTGTTTTTCTACGCTTGATTTGTTGCGTAAGGTGATATATTTGTTGCAAGTTGTTACTATGGTTAGACAAATTATCTTAAGTGCCTATTGCTACTACTTATTTATTATTACTTGGTATGTATAACATAAGGGTATGTTAAAGTTATAACATTGTGTATGGGAAGTAGTGAGATGGCTTTAGGGGGGGGGGGATGGGGGGGTTATATTACTATACACTCTATTGTGTATAGTAGCTACCAGACTACTAACACGTGAAGTGAAATCTTTATTAATGATGGTTTACTCTGATTCAAAAAATAGTTTTCCCAATGAAAGTTTCTAATTGTAAATTAAGTTATCAAAAGAAATTTAATTTCAGGCTAATTTAATTTTTAACTAAATGGTAAAGTTTGAAATTATTCCTACTGAGTTTTCTTTTATAACAAAAAAATTATTCAAAATGTATATTTGTAATCCCTATTTTTCTGAAAAAGTTGTTTACCGGTAGTCATTTTAGTTCTAGATTTACTTTTTGAGCATATCTGTTGATGTAGTTATTTGTAAACTTCTGCTTCAAAGTACAGTACAAATGTGTGATTTTAGTTGCCAACAGTTTAGAAAACTTATTATTATATTGTTTGTGTTTAACTCATTATTATAATTTCGCTTTACTTTTACTTGTATCCTTGACTATTAATACAACTTCTGTATCCAATAGTCAATGCTTGTATACAACAATACTGGCATACAATAGTTTTGGCATTACAAAATAAGAAGAGTAAATTATATTTTTGTGAACTTTTAAATAAATTATTAGTGTTTTTGGTTTAAAGCTGGTTAATTCAAATGTATCAAATTAACTTTAACTTCCTTAGCTAAGATAAAATGTTGTATCAAGTACTATCAAGCTTCCGGTGTTAAACCTTATTAGTTTTCATTAATTTAGTTGTAAACTATTGCGATACTACTTACATATTCCTTTTTAAGTCTACTAGTTATGTTTGGTATGTAATGTTAAACATTATCTACCGATTGTTTATTTTTCCCTACGAGCTTCCAAAGTCACGGAAAACTGGAAATGTTAACTTAAAAAAAAAATTCACTTGGCATATTTTTATAGCTATTTATACCATTCAGAGTGGTATTATTGTTATTTGTTTTAATCACTGTAATTCGTAGGTCTAGGATTACTAGTTGGTATACTTTAACAAGAAAATAAACACTTACAAACACTCTTAGTAAACAAAGAAGTTAATAAATAAATAAAAACAAATTATTCATTGATTTTGATTTAATCCAATATTCCTCTTCTAGATTGACACGTTAGGCCATAGAAATCCAATCACGGAAAACAATTCATTCATGGGAGAGCATTTATTTTCCGTCTCATCGTTATTGGCTACTAAGATGAGACTAATAGTTGTATAGGGGCTCAACCAGCTAGAATATTAATTGTAAAGAATACGTTGGTGTCACATATAATAGTTTTATGTTTATATGCTAGTACTCGCTTTCCGCTGATGGGGAGCTAGTTGGAGAATTGACAACCAAAAATGAGTCTGTTCTCATATTGTATCTTGGCAAGACTAAGCCTGTGAAAGTAAATTTTCTGCTATGTCTAGAGAAGTGCTAAATTAATTAAACAGGTTCAAATATTGGTCGGCGAAGCAAAAAATGTTTTGAAAGAATAATAATAATTGTATAGAAGAACGTCAGCAGAAACTTTACTAATGAAAAAACCCATCAGATGCTTCAAATTACTTTCATAAAACCTATAGTTTGTCCTTTAATTTCCTTTTCTTAACCCAAGTAATGTGGTAGAATTGTCAAGTATTACTGATACGCACTATATCAATTCAAGATAAATACTGATATCTTCAAGTACTACTGCACAATAAACTCAACATTGTTAGGTGAGTGGAATAATCTAATATTTATAGTTACAGTATTCGATAATTATTTCAGTAGTACTTAAAAATATTCACTTGTCATGTTGTATAACAAATTACAAAACCATTTAATATAAACATATAAAAGGAACTGTTGAATTTTGTTCACATAATACTATTCTTGTTTAACCATTCATTTTAGCATTGACTTTAAATACTGCAACTAGACTTCATTTTCAATTGTATTGTAAATTCCTAAGCTATTTTTTATGTGTTTGTGATCTCGTTATGTTGAGTGTGCTAATGTCGACTAGGGCAAATTTTTTAGGACAAATTTTGAAATGCACGTTGTTGTCTTTGACAGGGTTTATTTTTATACTGAACGGTTACATTTTAGATTGGTTTCAGAATAGGTGAAATTACAAATATCGAATGGTAAATATACTGTATTGTACAAAACCATAAATGAAAATTTTCTGCCAAGGGACTTTGTTAAATCAATGTTAAATTGGTATCTGAAAAATCAGTTTTTAATATAGGGTAGATATACTAGACATCTTGTCATTGTTTATTAGTTATAGGTTTAGATTAAATAATATGCAATACTGTGATTTAATCGTTTAAAAAACCTCTTGTAGGTCTTCGTTTGTCTGTGATTCACGCTGGAAATGTACCCCAAGAATGTGCTGTTTAGAGATATACTTAAACTGGTAAGATTAATTCTTTGTTGTTAGTTATGAAAACTTATTCATAAGAGTCTTTTTCTGCTGGACTTGTAAAAATCTTGTGCATTAGAACCACTCCCAATTGGGATAACTTGGGGCATTGTGGGATAACTCATTCCCGCAGTTAGCATGTGCATGGGCCACCGAGATAATTGCACCCCCCTTCCCTCGTGGGTGGGTTTTCTCTTCCTTGTGCCCCCAACAAACCTAAAACCTTACGGCCCAGGCCCATTCACTATAGCGGCCCTTGGTATAACTGATTCTTTAGAGTACCCAACTGATTACAAGTCTTTTTGAACAAAGCACTCTTATATCTGGGGTTTTCTTTTAAATTCATTTCTATGAAATTCTTTTAAATTTCATAACTTTTGTGGCCCTTTTTTGCTCCGTGATCGCACTTCTGATTCCGTTAATGAAGGGTCTAACAGGATGTGAGGATATTCAAAATGAAAAACTAACCATGATCATAAAATTGGATATCAGTACCCCACAGTGGGAAGATTTTAGTTTTGCGGTACGGTGGTAGTAACTTTGGAGTTTATAGCAACAGATTCTATCCCTACTGTAGGTGTCTAGAAATGCTTTATAAAAAAAAAAAAACTCTTGGGCTATTAAATCTGTTAACAACTTAGTTTACTTAGTACCTTGAGTACTTATGCAAAAGAAAGTTTCAAAACCATGTTTACAAGGAGACTACAAGTATATAAAGGTAAATTTAACCTTGACTTAAATTAACTTAGAGGTATAACCGTGTATAACCAAGTGGGTTTATGTGCTTATTAGCAAAATATTAAAACTTAGACCTAGTATCCATGATTAAACTCATGTTGTTAAAGGAGTAATGATCTCATGAATTAAGTCGGTTGTTAGTAGATAGTACCATAGATGAAACATACTCCTACTAGGAGAGTAGGAGTATGTTTTATCTATGATGGTACCATGGTGGAAGGAAAAAACATAGGTGTTCTATTCCCACATATTCTGACGTCACTTGGATTGCAAACAAAAGATCACCTGATTGTAACTGTCAAATTAGTATGTATTTGTTTTGATTTTATTGTTATTGTTTTTATAATAATAAAAACAATAACAACCAAATCGAAACAAATACATATACTAATTTGACAGTTACAATCAGATGATCTTTTGTTTGCAATCCGAGTGACGTCAGAATATGTGGGAATAGGACACCTATGTTTTTTCCTTCCACCATGTGATAGTACCATAGTACCGAGAAGCGAAAATGCCTTTATGCACACAGGTGGCCAGCTTTTGCTATGTGAGATTTAAGAATTGATCTGACTACACAATTTAAAAAAAAAAACCCTCAACTTTGTGGCTTTTGGCATTCAGATATTTTATGACCTAGAATGAATCCTGATCAAAGTCGAGCTTCTTAATGCGGAAAACACCTTAGACAAACTGTCACAAACAGGTCCATTTGTTTATACCCTCTGTCCATCACTGGGAAGACTGTTTTCCACTAACATCAGCCTCATACTAGGTCTACCATGAGACCTAGGGTAATAGCTACTTATTGGAAAATTTGCTAAACAGATCAAAACAAATTAAAGAAATTCCAATCAAATGTTTTATTTACAGCGTGGGTTGGAAATATAGAAGTTTGCACAATACATACTTTTTCCTACAGTTACCTAACAATGTACATGTTCTCTCACTGATTTGAGAAAGCAAAGTGGTCAATTCGCTCATCAGTGAGACAATGTTAACATTATCTCACTCTAATTACTTTGTCTCACTCCAGATTTGCAACGTGAAGGCACGAAATAGTAAGCGCGTAACATGTAGGCAACGTCGTATGCGCGCGAAATACGTTGGCAGCACTGGCTGTAAATCAGCTGGTCAGCTGTTGTACTGTTGTATTTGTTACTTCACATTAAATGTTATATTAAAAGTTCACTTCTGGGTAAAAATAGGTTATGTTTCTTCACCAATTTATTTGTTTTATGGTAACTGTAGGAAAAGTATAATGTGCAACTCGAGTTCAAAGTACAATTGCCTCACTCGAGAAACCATTCCTCACTCGCCTACGGCTCGTGAGTAAGGATTTCTCTCGAGTGAGTCAATTGCTCACTTTTCTCACTAGTTGCACAAATAACTATATTTGGTCTAGTTTTCAACCACACGGGGCGAGCTCTCGTTAATAAATAATAAGCCTTTACAACGAGTATCACTTCTAAAGACGCAATCGAGGATAACGACTAATTCTATTAGTTTCATTTCATTTTATGGAATTGACAAGCAAAAACATGTTAATTACATGTTTTGCTGAATATATCCACTAATTTGAAATCTTTAATCATACAGTACTCGTACTCGTACAAACCATCGTACAAACTGTATCGTCGTGGCCTCAGACCTAATTCGCTAGCACTTGCGACTGTTTACTTTTACATGCTTTTACCATAGATAAAACCATAAACATACTCCTTATACTCAGTAGCATTTCGTTTTTAATCTCCTATGAGGTCAACTTAATAATTATAAAATTATTCCATGTATAAACTGTGATTTTATGACGTAGCAGCATCATGCCACGAGACGGGAAGGACAAACGAAACCAAGTGAAACGAAACGACGGTTATTGGTGCAGGCGGAACACTGCGGAACCGCGGAACGGACGGAATGGAAATGGAACAAAATGAACAAATGTTATCCGCCATCTTTGTTCTCTAGTTCGTTCGTTGGCGTTGATTACGTTGTGACGACTGATGATATTTCTGTGTGCTAAAAGTGTGTATAAAAGTGGCTTTATAGTGCTGTGCTTGATCTAGTTATACCTTAGAAAAACATTATTTGGTTTAGGATGAAATAAATGCTTGAGGTAACTACAAATAGTTAAAACTTCGTTGTCTAGTCCTAGTTAGAAAATTGGCTAAGCTGGACAATCTCAATATTGACGCATGCCTCCTTGAACCATAATCGGATTTTCATGGGAGTCTTAATTATTACAGTACCGGTATCTATGGCAGGTCTATTTTTAGCTTCTAAACCTGAGCATTTTAGATTAGGTTTTATCTGAAATTAAGTTAGGCCTAGTGTTAATTTTAATAGGTTAGGCTAGGCTACCCTATGGCTAGAGCCCTAGGCCACTGCCGGTCAAGTGTGAATTAACCCTTTGAGTGCCAACGTCCGGGGAACCGGACGTTTTTAAAACGAGCCAAAAGTGCCAACGTCCGGCCGACCGGACGTTTTTAGAACGAGCCAAAAGTGCCAACGTCCGGCTGACCGGACGTTTCGTAATGATCGAACAGCTGTCATAACAACCGAATAAATACTCGGATTCTTTTAACCCATATATTAACATTGAGTCGAAAGTTGCTAGATGCGATACATCGATTTTCGTTGGTCGAAATATCGAAAATTCGATTTTTACGAAATTTTAACCTAAAAATCGCCAGATCGCGCTCGGCATTTTTAGCGCGACCTTCGGGAAAAATCATCGGCATTTTTTGAGCGTTACTTTTATTTCTCGCCTGGCACTCTAAGGGTTAAACTTAGGCTAAGTTACGCCTCGGCTATTATTATATCTTTTAAGCTTTATTTCCCTTGATGGGGATGACTGTGCCTTTTCACATAGGTTAGGCCTAAAAATGGTTTCAACACACTTTGTGTAGTGTTTTGTGTCGCTGCAGCGACTCACAAACACTGTTTACGGCGAAGGCTCTATGACTGACAAAATCGGATTGAACTGGATCGAGTTAGGCCTAGGTATCGTTTTAGGCTGCACTTTACTTGACGTCCTACACTCATTCGAATGAAAATATCGATCGATATATCGATTGCTTCATTCGATATATCGTTTGGTTAGTTAGGTAAGGTTAACCTAACCTAACTAACCAAACGATATATCGAATGAAACAATCGAATAAAAATATCGAATCGAAAAAACAATCGAATGAGTGTAGGACGTCAAGTAAAGTGCAGCCTCGTTTTATTTTACAGATTCAGAGCTTTCTCCGGAGGTCTGTCTCTAAGCGCTATTCATTTTAGTTCCAAAAATATTGCAGCAGACAGCTGACGTGCGTATTTGTAAACAGCTTGGTTAACCTCGCACCGATGACTGATGTGTTTTATTACGTTTATCATTGTTTTAGTGTTAAAAATCAAAATTAGTGATATACGTGGTGCTTTATAAGAAGATTTAGGCTAAGTGATTTTGAAGGGCTGGTTGATGATCCTGAAGAAGTAGGTAGTGATATTGATACTTGTGTGAACCTGGCAATAACTTGGCAATAAGTAGTGCGCGCGCCACAAAAAATCTATTGCTGGCCGTTTTGCGGCAAAATACGTCCGCGATGCATATTACCGATGATGCCAACAGACACTTTAACGGACACGACAGTATCAACATTATGTACCTGGGGAGTAGTATAAGTAGTGATGTAAAATACCCAGGTATTTAAAACTCGGGGTAAATACCCTGGGTATTTACCCGGGTAAATACCCAAAATCCATAAATACCCGGGTATTTTGGGTATTTATGAAATCGATTGAAATTCATTTTTATCCACCCCTAAATGAATCAGTTATTTATGAAAGGGCTGTTGTCATTGAAACCAAATTTTTGGGAAATCAAGAAAAACTGTTTGGTTGCTAAGTTACAATACTTAGTTTCAGTTTTTTTGCTATTTTAGATATATTAATCCTTTAAAATATTAGAATTTGGTTTTTGTAACTTTAATGTTATATTTAATTTTTATACAAATTTTTAAAAACTACTGACATGAGCCCTTTCATAAAAAAAGGTTTGAAAACATAAAACCCATTTTTTATTTTCAAGCGTGACTAAAATACAAATTTATTTTTGGTAAAAAAAACACACATTATTACATTTCATAATGAGTTAAAATAGAATCGAGTTAGAAAAAGTCTTATTTAACTGTCTTTCTCAATTGTTGGCCAACAAACAAGCTCATGGTAAAAGGCTAGGTGTTCTTGAGGAACGTATTGGACAAGCTTCTTGATGTCATCCATTTTCTTCTTTGGTATAGGAACTTTTTCTTTATACAGAATGTCAGTGGGAGGTGAAATTTCAACCTGTTGATTTGATTGGTTAGCAAGATTAAAGGTCTTTGAAGGAAATCCACCAATAAAATCCGAAACAACCACTTGACCTTTCTTGGAATGGTGAAAAGAAAACTCATGATAAGAAGTTATGGTAAAATACTCCCTTTTCCCCCTCTTTTCAGTTTTGGTTTCCTCTGAGAAAGTGCTTTTTTTATAAAAGTTGGGCCACCACTTTTGGAAATCCAAAATGTCATCTTTGTCTACCAAGTCCACCGTAAACTTCCCTTGTACTGAAGCACTTATTATCATTTCCGTTACCTCTTTTACGGTATAGTAGCGATCGCATCTTCTTAATTTTCTTTTTACAACGCCGAATACCCTATCACATGGCAGGTACGAGTGTCCTCTTATTGGAAGTCGATACACAATTTTTTTAAATCTTCCACTGTCTATGAGATATTGCAAAAACCTGATCATGGTGTGGTTTTTGTTTTGACCTGTGCAGTTATCACTGTATAGGTACAATTCATCAACATTTGCAGGTACATTGTCATTAATGTATTTTTGTATGAAAGAGCAAACTTCATTGCAACCTTTAGCAGCAACACCTTGATGGTATAGGTAAAAAGTTGCTGAGTCATTATTGCTATTGTGAATAGCGAATGGGTAAACTGACAACTGTCTGAGGTAATACACGTCCTGAACTGGAAGGGTTGGCAAAGATATGTTAGCACAGTAGTCAAAACATAAAAGTAAAGCGTTTTTGTGTGAGGCGCAGTAATCTTTGGTCTCACTAATTGATTTATAAAATTTGTTACTACGCTTCTTGTGAACTAATAGCTGTGCTTCAGCTACTCGTTTAGCAGTCTCATTTAGTTGAGGGTTTTTAATGCGAGTATTAAGCATTTCACACTCACAGCATGTGTCAATCTGGGGCCTTCCAAACCGATAGTTAAAATGCTCTTTAAATACTTTATAATAGTAGCTATAAACTACATCGCTTCCCTCAAATTTGTCTAAGAACAGATTGTACATTTTCTTGATATCAAGGTTGGCATCTAAGTACTTAATTTCCTTAGATGAGTAGTGACTTATTTTTAAAGGGAAGGACTCAATGTGCTTTTTTATTTGATCCGTATAATCTTTAGGAAACGTTTTCCTATTCATCTGCTGTCCTCTTAAGTCTCTAGGCGACTTACCTTTTAAAAGTAAATTTTTAAGTCTTCTAACCTTTTTATCGCCTATTCCATACAAACTCAAAAAAGCCTTTTTGCAAACTTTAGTTCTTTTTTCACCAACCAGTACATGAAAGGTAAAAGAACTTTCATGTGCAACAGAATGCTTAGGCTTAGGTTCTTCTTCAGTTTGTGTAGTAACTCTTGATCTTCTAGTTTTAACAGGATGGGCTTCTATTAATGACTGATAAAATAAATCTTGTTCATCTTTGTTTTGAAAGCTTCCTCCTCTATTTAGAATATCTAATTGATCCTCTTCAGTTATATGTTCAAAACATTTCATTCTGCACCTAAAAAAATTAGAATGTATCAGGCCTTAACGTCTTAAGGTCTTTTCGGTTTAGAGATGAATTGGTGACTACATTTTTAACAAACTTTGGTCTCTAGGCTACTATGTATTAGAGAAAATAAAAAATGTGTAGGCCTAAAGTTTTTCCAACAAAATAATCAAATAAAGACATAACCTAATTCTTAGGAAACAACATAATAAAAATTGAAAGGTGATTTGACTTTGTTTCTAAGTTAGGAATGTTGGTAACTTAGTGTAAAGCATAGATAAACATTCAACATACGTGCATGGTATTCCAGTTGTACGTGCTTCTGTAACATTTCCTTTGTAGTTGACGTATTCATCTCCTCGAATTCTGGCCTTTTTAATAACATTCACTTTATATTTTTAATATTTCGTACACCTCTTTTTCGTTTATTTGTTTCTTTACCTAGGCCTTCGTCGTCAGGACTTTCACTTTCTAACATTTTAAAAAAAGCACTTGAGTAGGCTAAACGAGTATAAAGTAGCTTGAATACCAAACAAACATAACCTCTAACCTCAACTCTCTTAGAATAGAATGGTGCAGTAGAAAAGTAAGAAAAACAAGCCCAGCAGAAGCTCAGCTGACAGGAAAAAACTTCCAATGCGCATGCGCTGCCAACCTAACTTTGTTCATGAAAGGGCTCCTGTCTCTGACATGAGCCGTTTCACAAACAATTACAGATTTCAGCTGGCTTCAATGTGCATTACAACAGGTTTGACAAGAGCCCGTTCATAAATAAATATGCAGATATGTATGTTTTATTGATTTTCGACCAAAAGCCAATTTGTAAAAAAAAATGACATGAGCCCTTTCATAAATAACTGATTCAAATATGTTATTGTTATCATTACATGATAAATTAGGATAGTCTATTTCACCTTTTACAGTAACTTGAAGCTTTGCAGAATTGCTAGTAAGTACCTTTTATTTAATGATCTAGCACTTTTTTATGAAATCAAGACAACACCTCATCAGAGAAATAGTGCACCTAAATCTACTTCTACTGTTATTAAATTATGATAGTTAAAATTTGTATTGTGTAAATGGCTTGGAAGGCTGGACAGACCCAAGGCCTGATTGATATAGGCAGAATGGCAGAATACTGAATGTACAGTAGACTCCCTCTTATCCGGACTCCTCGGGACCGAGGCTAGTCCAGATAACGGGTTTTCTGGTTAAACCGACGTCCCCAAAAACTTGTTAAAACAGAAACCGTGTACTGGTACTGTCATATTCGACTTTAATTTAGGAGAGCATTGTATTTA